CACCAAAGTCGAAGTTTTGGCGGATCAATCAACCTCCAAGGTTTGTCCTAAAATGTGTAAACCATGGATTGGAAGACCTACATTTGTGGCAACTGTTTCATTCTCAACCATGAGATGTTGGGATGATGAGCCATAGTTTTTTTTTTTACAAACCCGTGTCGTGTTTGGCCTCAATGGGATCAAACAAGACCATCAATCGTAAAGGTATATAAATGTGGATACTCCAAAATGGATGGCTTATAAGGGAAAATCCTATTAAAATGGATGCTGTGGGGTTACCCCCGTTTCAGGACGGAAATCTCCATATGTTTAATTATACAACATACTTTAATATACAGTAGTATAACCATCCTGAAGTAGATAAAAGATGGGAATGTTCAAACGTATTTCCATTTCAGTGATGTTTTTTTCCCCATATTCTATCTACTCCAAGATGACTATATATACATGCTATTGTTGCTTATGTACCCCTTATCCTTGTCGGTATACTTGAGTCCTGGCTCTATTATATAAGTGGTTTTGCACATGGTCTGTTACTCTTCAATATCTAGCTTTCACCGATTTTTCTCCTGATCTTTGTGGATCTTATCATCATTTGGGTATGGATCAATACCTATTAATACCATTTTTAGTGGGAGAACATCCATAAATCCCAGCTATTTTGATGTGAACTACTTGGGTACTATAGGTTTTGACACACTGCCATTTCTATTGCTTAACCCATTATTCTTGATTCTATGCCATTGTCCCAATGCTACTAAAAATTCGTCTGAAGTCGTTGGAAACGATCCCATCCATGTTGGCTTTATCCCATGATTTCTGAATGATACCCTCTGGTAAACGTTTACAAAAAACGATGGAAAATCACCATGCTATCAATGGGAAAATCCACTATTTCTATGGTCATTTTCAATAGCGAACTGTTAAATTACCAGAGGGTATCTTGTGCTTCCTCTGTTACGATGCATACATTCCACTGGTGCGCCCCTTGAGAACCGCCGGAGAAGTGCTCAGGTGTCCCATAAATGGAGGCTTTCTAGCTGTGAAAATCATCGAAATAACTGTAGGTCAAATCCTGAATATCTCTACGCAAGTGGGTGCAGTTCCGGTGAAGCAAGTGGCTACGCTTGAGCATAAATGTCGGTGTTTCATGACAAAACAACTTATATGATTGTTGAAATTTTTGAAATCCCATAAGTATAGCTATTGTAAAGCCCCAACCCCATATCTGGTTAAAACCATGGTTAAAACCATAGAGTTGAAATCCCGGCGTAGTCCTCGGATCCCAACTGAAGGTTATTTCAATATCAGACGCAATGAAATGCGCATTTAATTCATGAAAATCCCCATGAAAAATTGAAATTATTGGTTATATGATCTATGAACCATAATGGTATACATATTAGTCATAGATCATATAACTAATATAAATCTACTTAACCATAATGGTATGAACCATAATCCAAGTCATTGAATGAGTGTAATAGCCTTACAACGCGACAAGAATGCCATCCCCTTACATCCACCATGGCTGAGAGTTGAAGCAAGCAGACTTTCCATTCATATTCCATTCCCATTGAATAAGAATACAAGGTGGTGCCCCAGTTGGGAATCGCTAAGTTGGTGGGTTTATACCTCCAATATCTATGGCCTCGGTTTATGGTAGATATCTATATCTAACTGGGGTGGCACCACCTTGTAACATCCAACTCCAATAACTCCAATAGCTATGGTTTAAACATATTATCTGAATGGGACCAAGTGAATGGACTATGCTGTTCCGCATATTAAAATGGAATGTGAATATGAATGGAATAATGGACTTTTCATAATAACATACCATTCGCATCCAAGATTCCATTATTAAAATCGCCTGATCCCATAGCTATAGCAGCTATACCCATGTTTCCCGTGTATATTTGCAATATTTTCCACATATTTTTGCCATATTTTCCATATTACAGTTATAACTAAGTTCTCCAGTAAATGTGAACATAGATATGTTACACCCCTTGCCATATTACAGTTATAAGTTCCAATATTCGATATGATTCCCGCTTGTATACCATTCCGTCCCAGTACATACTCCATTTTTGCGTAGTTCTATCCATTCATCCCATTTATATCCCATGTACAATCCATGCAAATCTCACTAAAATCCGATTAATCCCATAGTTCATGTGGGTAAAACAATACCATAAATAAACCACCCATGATTGGGAATGGTTCATAGCACCTATAAAAATGGTGATGGCTGGGGGATGGTAAACATGGCTTTGACCCACATGAGTAGTAACCATTATCATCCATTATAACCACTTCCCATAATCATTCAACCATTGATAATCATCCCACAGATTCATCCATTACCATGGGTGATCAATCATTAAACCAATTCATAACTATTAGATACTATGAGTTATTATCCATTTGCCCACATGATTATCCCATAGTTAGACCTAATTGACTTTTCACCCCAAATATACAGTAACCTAGGAGAAGGATGCTGCACCGCTCCGAGAGAAAGCCACAGGAGAAGGTGCGCCGTTGGCCAAAAGTGGTGACGTAGAACGAGTTGTCAGGGGGAAATTTGGGGAAGATCGTGAAAAGACATTGCAAAATCATGGGAAAACATCTGGCTATGGACCAATACCTATAGATACAATTTGTTAGGGGATGAACATTCATTTACCAGCAATTTTGATGTTCACTAGGTGCCAGGGTTTTGACCCATCCCCATCTGGGAACATGGGAAAATCATGGGAAAATGTAGGAATGTATAGAACATTTGACAAAACAGATAGGATCTGGTTGGTGGTTTCAAACATTTGGATGATTTTCCATTTCATATGGGATGTCATCCGAAACCCATTGACGAAGTCCATCATATTTTTCAAGATGGTTTTTAAACCACCAAGCAGTAATCATTGATAAACCATATTATTCAAGATCATTAACCATATAATAACCATTAATATTAACCATATATTAACCAGTTAAAACCACCAACCAGTGGACTATTCATGGGAAAAAAACATCTGGAAACATGACCTAAACCGACCAAGATGCCGCGGCCTGAAATTTCAGGTCGCAGCATCTTAGACTCACGCATGGAGCAGGGAACCTCAGACTATTTTGTGTTGAATTTCTTGCCGGTGATAGTGGGGATATAGTGGGGATATAGTGGAAGAAGGTGGGATCTAGTGGGGATCCAGTATGATATAGTGGGATAGGAAGGAGATATAGTTGTTCTTTTTTTGGAAATATGAGATTATGAGAGGGATATTATACTGTAACTGATTGGTGGTTTGGAACATTTATTATTTTTCCATATATTGGGAATAGTCATCCCAACTGACTAATATTTTTCAGAGGGGTTGAAACCACCAACCAGGTAACCAACAATGTGTTTTATTTGGTGCATCGAAAACCGAGCTCCCCAGACGGTTTGCTAAGCAAACCGCAGGCGCTGTGTGATGAACGCTGCCCTGAAGTGCGGACGCAGCACATTGGCCTTGCCCGACACGTGTTTGCGGCGAACTGGGAGGGGTCAATATGTTGGGAAGTTTAACATGGGAATACCAGATACCCTCCTAATAATGGAGATTTATGATGATTTATGGGGATTTATTGGGATTTATAGGGATTTATAGGGGATATAATGGATAATACCCTCTGGTAATTTAACGTAGCTATTGAAAATGGCCATAGAAATAGTGAGTTTTCCTATGAAAAATGGTGATTTTCCATCGTTTTTTGTAAGTTTACCAGAGGGTACTCCCCAAAATCCAGAACTGGGAAGCCCATGACTTGGGGATGCCCCACTTTTTCGAGGAAACGTCCAGCAGATGTGCCATTGGACATGGGTGATTTTCCCATCAAAGGATGGTCATAGCGAATGAAAAAACACCATGGTTTTGACCATGTGACACATAGGAAAATCCCCCCCATAAAATATCCCCGGGGATATTTTATGGGAATAAATATATAATACTGTATATATATATAATATATATATATATGATATCTGGGTCAGTAGATGTGGGTAAACTATAACGACTTCACTGCGAATTTACTATGATGCTTTGGATGGGGACATCATCCCAAATTGGTGAAATTCACTAAGATACATAGCGTACCAATGAACCCCCCAATGGATCAGAAAGGTGCGAAGGTAAGGCGCATCTAGAAGATCCAGGAAAGGCCTGGTGGGTTCAAACCTCTCCCCATGTGGGTGATGAACATCCATACGGTATATAATCATCCGGAAGTAGATAGATAGAATATGGATGAATATGGGGATTTTCGAAGAGATTCCCATTTAAGTGAAGATTAACTTCCATTTCCATATTCTATCTGCTCCAGGACGACTATATGTTTTTAGTGATTGAAGTCATTTAAAGATGAACACAACCATGTTGTACCTGCAAAGCCATGGCTTTGGACAATGATTAACATACGCATGGCGTGTGGCTTCCGTTGATATGTCGCATTGAAAACCGCATCCTTGAGGTTCGCATTGGGATGATGAATACCCCGTGGGTTGTTGTTGTTTCACAGTCAGGCAGTTTGAACCATAGCCACAATGATTCATGGTGACATTGATGAAATCGGAGACGCTTGTTTAGTCTTAAATGATCATGGTTTCAGCCAACTCCTAACCAGGCAGTTTCCTGTGGGTAAAACAATGTCATAAACCAGCTATGACTGGGAATGGTAAACATCCCACCTATAAAAACGGTGATGACTGGGGGATGACACCAACCCCCGACTTCGCTTCTCCCCCAGCATTTCTTCAGGCTGAGCACATGCCACACATGCCACATGGGCGAGATGCAGAGTATATCCACAGCTTTGACGTCAGGGAAACATAAGAACATATAATATATATAATTATGTAAAATATACCATGTCCTTCACTTTCTAGAAATAACGTTTTCATTTTGATTAGATTCTTATGACATGTAACTTACATTAACTGTTCACTCACCATTCCGACTTCTAGAACTAGCTCCCCAAACATCTCACCATCGACGCCATGGCCGTATATGATGTGATCCTCTTCGGTGCCACTGGCTTCACCGGTGGCTTGATGTTGAAGTACCTGGCCTCCAAAACCAGCGTGAAATATGCCATCTGTGGCCGCAACAGGGGCAAGATGGAGCAAGCCGTGGATGCTGGGATCGAAGGGCCTGAAGGGCCAGGGGTGGTAGACGGAGGATATTTATCCTGGAGGTTTCAACTTGGAATCATCCTAGGTTTCCTGGTTTCTTCCTTTTTTGGGGCAGAAAATGCTATGATTTGAGATCATTTTAGTGTTTAAATCGTGTCACTGTCCCACAATTATCCCATTCTTCCATGTTTCTTCCATGTATCGCTAATGGTTTCCCATATTATCCCATTAATTCTTGGGTACGTTATGGATTGAAACTGTAAACCCCCATGGTTTTTTTCATACAAAAACCGACCAATCTTGTGGGTCCATTGGTGCTGGTGTCGATAAACACATGTGTGTATGCGTCATCATATATGCTTCTATCCATGATTTATAATATTATAAGATCTTATAAGTATGCAGAATTATATATAAGTATATATATATAAATATATATATATATATATATTATATACAAATTATGTATATATGTCATATTCTGTATATACTTGTATAGACATATAACATATACATGTATAGATCTAGATGATCTTCCTTTCATGCTTTTGGTAAGGCAGAGCTCTCCCCCAAGCCGGAGATTCTGGTGTTGGATGTGGTGAGCGCTTCATTGACAGAGGTGAAAGAGGTGGTCAAGCAGACCAAGTGCGCGTCTTGACGGCAAGTCTTCAGTGAAATCTTAGCCTCTGGTAAATTAACAGTTCGAACCTGAAAATCACCCATGTTTAGTGGTAAAAGTAACATAGACCCTGAACATAAAGAAGACATTTTTAGTGGAAACTAATATGAACCAACCCCTATGTCATGTTAATTTACTAGAGGCTATCCAACACAAAAGGAATATAATGGAGTAAAGGAATATAATGGAGTATACAAATGGATATATGGATATATGATATGTGTATATATATATATGATATACAATAAAAACATACAGGGAACTATAGAACATATTTACAATGAGGTGTGCAAATGGGGTATTTACGGTGAAACATGCAATAACGTGACTTTAATCGATGCAATTGGAGTATCAAACGGGGCCACAATGGGCATCAAATGGTATGTAGATATATCATGTATATATATATATATAGAACACTAATATAGAAGAACATGATAGAAAAATGGCATCTATAGATAGAACCCCCCACTAATTGTAATATATCAAATGTAGATATGTAGAAGAAAAACATAGCAACACTAATTATGGGATTTGCGTGTGACTCAAAATGGGATTAATACTATCTTAGATATTGAAAAGCCCATGGTTTCCCGTTCAGAACATGAACCAAAAAAAAGGGTGGATTTTCCACATCTATGCTTGTTTACACAAGGGTACCCCAAAAACGCATTTTTATGGATACACTTGGAATGTGATGGCTGTGATGGGGACATACCAGGGGTATTATGGGGCTTTTTGTCAAACCAGCACTATGGGATTTGGGTGTCTGAAAATGCGGTATACCCCCAGTTTTGGCAATTTGATTAGATACCCTCTGGTAATTTAACATAACTATGGAAAATCACCATTTATAGTGAGTTTTCCCATGAAAAATGGTGATTTTTCCATAGTTATGTTAAATTTGATTAGAGACTATATCAACAATATTTTGACTCAACCAATGAATTTATGTCTTAGAATTGTTTTTTTTCCGGGAAAAAAAATCCAGAAAACCTCAAACTGTTTGGGCAAGATGCAGGGCTTCCTTTTTAGATTTTCCATCACCAATCCATTGAAATTGCAAATATCTCCCAGCTGATGGATACATAGTGGTGCCCCATAGATAGCTAAGTTGGTTTATAACTACAATAAGTGGGACTTATGGTAGATATATCTATAGTTGATGGGGGTTATAAACTAACTTATAACTGGGGGGTACCACATTGTAGGGGTCATTTCACCCTGGCAAATCAGGCTTTCCATAGTGGGGATACTCCAAGCTCGCTGGATGGTTTATTTCATGGAGAATCCCATTCTTTAATGGATGATTTGTGGGTTTTGTTGGACACCTCCAAATACAGTTTGTATATATATATATATAAATACGTATATTGGACATTGATATCGCAAATATATGATTTATATAGTATATAGTATATAATATATAATCGTATATAGTATATAGTATATAGTATATAGTATATAATATATAATAGTATATAGTATAAAGTATATAGTATATAATAGTATATAGTATATAGTATAATAGTATAATAGTATATAGTACATAGTACAAAGTATATAGTATATAGTATATAGTATATAGTATATAGTATACAGTATATAGTATATAGTATATAATAATATATAGTATATAATAGTATATAGTATATAGTAAATAATAGTATATAGTATATAGTATATAATAGTATATAATAGTATATAATAGTACATAATAGTATATAATAGTATATAATAGTATATAATAGTATATAATAGTATATAATAGTATATAATAGTATATAATAGTATATAATAGTATATAATAGTATATAATAGTATATAATATTATATAATAGTATATAATAGTATATAATAGTATATAATAGTATATAATATTATATAATAGTATATAATAGTATATAATAGTATATAATAGTATATAATAGTATATAATAGTATAATAGTATATAATAGTATGTAATAGTATATAATAGTATATAATAGTATATAATAGTATATAATAGTATATAATAGTATATAATAGTATATAATAGTATATAATAGTATATAATAGTATATAATAGTATGTAATAATAGTATATAATAGTATATAATAGTATATAATAGTATGTAATAGTATATAATAGTATATAATAGTATATAATAGTATATAATAGTATATAATAGTATATAATAGTATATAATAGTATATAATAGTATATAATAGTATATAATAGTATATACTAGTATATAATAGTATATACTAGTATATAATAGTATATACTAGTATATACTAGTATATATAGCATAGTACTAGTATATATAGTAGTATATAATAGTATATAATAGTATATAATAGTATATAATAGTATATAATAGTAAATAATAGTATATAATAGTATAAATAGTTAGTATATCATAGTAGTATATAATAGTATATAATAGTATATAATAGTATATAATAGTATATAATAGTATATAATAGTATATAATAGTATATAATAGTATATAATAGTATATAATAGTATATAATAGTATATAATAGTATATAATAGTATATAATAGTATATAATAGTATATAGTATATAATAGTATATAATAGTACATAATAGTATATAATAGTATATAATAGTATATAATAGTATATAATAGTATATAATAGTATATAATAGTATATAATAGTAAATAATAGTATATAATAGTATATAATAGTATATAATAGTATATAATAGTATATAATAGTATATAATAGTATATAATAGTATATAATAGTATATAATAGTATATAATAGTATATAATAGTATATAATAGTATATAATAGTATATAATAGTATATAATAGTATGTAATAGCATATAATGGTATATAATAGCATATAATAGTATGTAATATTATATAATAGTATATAATAGTGTATAATAGTATATAATAGTATATAATAGTATATAATAGTATATAATAGTATATAATAGTATATAATAGTATATAATAGTATATAATAGTATATAGTAGTATATAATAGTATTTAATAGTATATAATAGTATATAATAGTATATAATAGTATATAATAGTATATAATAGTATATAATAGTATATAATAGTATATAATAGTATATAATAGTATATAGTATAACGTGTGGACGTGCGGACGTGTGGACGTGTGGACGTGTGAGCCGCGAGGTGTGCACCAGCGTTGGACCTTTTCAGGAATACGGCGAAGCTCTGGTGCAGGCCGCGCGGCCGCGTGTGTTTTTTTTCGTGGTTGAGAACTCAGTTGTGCAAGACTTGAATCGTGGTAAAACCAACAACACAAGGCCATGGTTTTGTTGAAGGTTTAGGCTCAACTAAACATAGCGAACTGGAAACTCACCATTCATAATTGCAAATTCAACTATAAATGGGCAATTGTCCATAGCTATGTTAAAATACCGAAGGTTTATTTAAAAAAAACTCAAGGGGTCGCATAAAATGTGATTTCTTGGGTTTTGCCACACCGGAAATTCTCTTTTACTTGATCGTTTTTTTACTCGGAAAATCACGGATAGATGGGAACATTCCACTGATTTAACTGAGTGTTGAGAAGGGACTGCTTGAGTGACCGCTGTCCACATCCTCAAGCTTCAAATGCAGCCCCTGCTTGTAGTTGCCCTTACGTGGTTCCTTACATTGTGGGATCGCCATAGCCCCCCTGATTTTGAGATCTCCAAGGTTCAGTGCAATTGCAGTTGTGAAGTGAAATCAGTCAGCTGTGAGGTGAACACTTGGGGTTCAGAGCTGTTGAAAGTGGCATTGATCTTTTGCTTTGGAATAATCGTTGGACTAGGTCGTATATCTCTGTCTATCCTCTATTCCATTATCGCTGTCATCAGTGGCTTTTGCACATCTCTGGGTGCCACATCCACGCAGACTTTGCCAGTGACATTTGCGAGATCCAGCGACGCTCTTGGAGGTCCAGCAACCAGGGTTGATCCTGTGGAGGCCCCCATTGAAGGCAGCAACCATCGTAGGGCTCAGGAGCAGTTGGCTTTGTTGAGACAGAGGCGTGCATCCCTCACAACCCAGCCTTAAGTTCTACGAGGTCTGGATTGGTACTGGCCTGATAGATGGCTCTTGCTAACGGAACAAGGGTGTTTGTAGCCTATGACTTGCCTGGAGCTCCTCTTTACCATGAGCGGAGAGTGATGGCTTCTTGCGCATGCCAAAGAGGATGGCATGTGGTTTTGACGCCAGATCTGGATCTGTATGAAGAGCAGTTCAGCTTGGAGAATACGGACGTCAGTGCTTTCCACATTGCCCCTCCTGGTGATGGCACTTTTCCCTATGGCTTGGGTGCCCACAACACTTACCAGTTTCGTGGGGTCCCAGACCCACAGCTGATGGCCCAGCTTGAGTTGGACGCCCGGCATGCAGCCGCTGCTTTCCAGTACCCACCTGGTGCGGGCGCTGGTCTGCCGCCAGTTGCTGCTGCGCTTCCCGCTCGACTAGATCCCCCTGCCGCTCCTGATGGTCGGTGGGTTCGGATTGAATCAGTTGGGGTGGACCTGCGGGGAAGCATCGTTGAACTGGATGGGACTGAGCTTCTCAGAGGCGAGGTGGGACTAAAGCAGAAAGACGGCGCCTGGTTTGCCATCCGGAAGATGCCTGAGGATTGCATTTCTGGCTACAAGGGCTCTGAGGCGGCTGGCGATGCCCGTCTTCTTGGGATCAAGTTCCAAGGTATCCAGCGACAGGAGAGGACATGGAGGGATGTCAGCCAGGAGGTGGTGGAGGAAGAGTTCAAAGACTGGGGTGTTCCTGGCCCGAGAACGGCCTCTTGGTGCGTGCGTTTCCTCAACAGGCGCAACGGTGGCCCAATGGATCATCACAGGTGGTGGATGAACAACCACAACCTGAGATCAGATTCTTGGGGCGCCACCGAACATGAGACCCTATGCAAGGTGATTGATAAGCTGGCTCGCTTTGATGGCCTTGACCTTTCGAATCTTGCTGGAGCTGAGGTCACCTTCAGGAGATTGCAGCTGATCGAGTACTTTTACTCCGAGCGCGGGCCTGGCAGTGGAAAAGGCTCCAAAGGTGGCAAAGATTCAAAGAAAGAGGACGACCCCAACTACAAGTTTGAAAGCTCCATCTTCTCCGGTATAGCCACAGAGAGTTCGGCGACGTGATGGTCGCGCCGGAGCTCATGAGCTATGTCGCAAAAGAGGTGGAGTCTGAAGCAGCCGTGATGAAGCAAATCAGGAAAGCCCGTGAGGAACGGGCAGCTGCTAAGTGAAGACGGTTTTTTGTTTGCTGAGGCGCAATGGACACCTCAGCTAGATGCCGGCCCCAGGCCTCAGTGGCCCAGGTTGCCAGAGAATTTTTCCCTTTGCCTCCTGCCTCTTCTGTGATTGATGGAAGTGCTGGAAACAAAAAGACTGCTGGTTCATCCCGCTCTTCCAAGAGAAAGGTTGCGGTTCGTGATCACCTTCTGGAATGGGCGGATGGAGCAATCAGTGCATTGAACTCCCTCTATCGAGGCAATGAATTCGTGGCAGACGTCGATTGTGCTGGGAAGATGGCCTCACTGGCCCAGAAGTGCTCAGTGCAGCGAATTTTTGATTTGGTGAAGTCTATGGGGAAGCCTCCTCAAGACATCACTGGCCAGGGAGCTCTTCGCGAGCTCCGGGCAAAACTAGGGTATGATGGTGAACCCACCACCCTGGCGCGACTGCAAGAGGATCTCGTGAGTTTGCCTGCTGACGGTTCCCAGCCTGCCCCCTTGGAGAATATCCTTGGGGGCGGTGCCCATTTTCCATGCAGTTTGCTTGAGTCGAAGGTGTTGCCGCCTGGGGCAGTGAAAGAGCTGAAAGCTCAATGCTCTTTGAAATCGCCGTATTTTGATCCGCACCTTAAATATAGCCGTAGGGCCTATGCGTCTTTTGTCAGGAGGTTGCATAACTCTGGGGTAGTAGAATATAGGAGGTCCTGTAGAGAGCAGTGTGGCCTTTTTTGTGTGTGGAAGAAATCAGGTCGTCAGAGACTAGTGGTTGACGCCCGTCTTACAAACCTGTGGTTTGCCAAGCCAGAGGATGTATCTCTGGCCACCGGCGCCTCTTTTGGGGCCATCGAAGTCGATGGACATGGTCCCATCCAGTTGGCGGGGGTGGATATAGCCGATGCCTTTTACAACATCGAGCTTCCTGCTTCACTTCGTGATCTTTTTGGGCTTCGGCCGCTGAAGGCCGTGGAAGTTGGAATAAGCAGTTGTGAGGGTATCCCCATTGGTTCTGGTGATCAAATTTTTCCGGTTTTCAAAGCTGTGCCCATGGGGTGGACGCATGCATTATGGTTGTGTCAGTATCTCCATGACAAGGTGGTCGATTCTATTTCAGGTCTTGGTGAAGCTAATCGTTTTGTTGATGGTAGGCCCCCCCCCTGATTTGCACCCGCTGATCCACACTGAATATGTTGATAACTTCGTTGCGTTGTCACAACAAGTTGGAGTGGCGGAGCAAGCAGCACGGGAGGTGTCTAGCCATCTGCAGAAGCGGGGGCTTCCTGTCCATGAGGTGGAGGCGGGCAATGGAGGCGAGACCCTGGGTTGGAAGTTCCTGGAGGATGCACCCGTCGTCGCAGTCACCCCTAGAAGACTATGGAAACTTAGATTGGCCACTTTGGAGCTCTTGAAGGTAAACCATGCAAGCGGACATCTTATCGAGGTTATTTTGGGACATTACACTTTTGTTGGACTCCTTTGCCGTGAATTTCTAAGCGTATTCCAAGCCTGCTATGCCTTCTGCCGAAAACACTATCACACTGATGTTCCTCTTTGGCCTCAGGTGCGCAGAGAGCTGGTGTGGGCCTGCAACTTGCTCCCACTGGTGAGGCGCGATCTCTCAGCGGGTTGGTCAGAGCGGGTCTATGCCACAGATGCTTCTCATTGGGGCCGGGGGGTAGCAGTCGTCACAAAGCCCAAGCATGAAGTCAGACAAGTTGGTAGGATCAATGACCGTTGGAAGTTCAACCGTAATGAAGAGAACCTAGTCAAGGAGGTGGAAGATGCCACTCAGCAACTTCCCGACGCCTTCTCACTGGAGGTGCTGCCCCCTGTGTTGCCGCAGCTGGCGCATGATGCTGCTAGACACAAGGAGGCGAGAGGGATGGATGGCAACTACGTGCCGTTGCAGTTTTTGGAAGGGGATTGGAAGCAGCTGTCGAACGGTCCATGGGAACGCATGGAGAGTATACCTGTTTTGGAGGGTAGGGCTATTGTTTGGGTGCTACAACATCTTGCGCGAAGCTCGAAACAGCATTCTTTCAAACATTTGATCCTCACTGATAGCATGTCGTGTACGTTGGCTATTACTAAGGGTCGTAGCTCCACTGGTTCCATGAATCGCATTTGTCGTCAAGTTGCTGCTATTCTTCTTTCAACTGGTATGAGGATTGGTTGTCGTTGGGTGCCATCAGAACTTAATCCTGCTGACAGACCTTCACGTGGAATGCCATGGCAGTATTTTGATGCTCGAGCAACGGCCAAAACGTGGTGCGGCCATGCTGCCACGTCAAAGCCAGTCAGAACCCAAGGCTGGCGCCATGAAGCGTTTGAACAAGTCCGAGATGAGCTCGGGCTCGCAGAGAGCGCTTCTGGTGGGGCAACAGTTGTTAGAGCACAAAGTCAAAAAGACGCATCTGAAGCAGAATCAGAAGCAGCAGAGGGCCTTGTACCGACAGGAGATGTACCATGGCCATGCAGTCAACATGAACCCAGAAATGGGCCCGACTTTCCTGGAGAGGATGTCAGTGAGTGCAGCCAGGGAGGAGTCATACAAGCAGGCGTGGGCCCGTTTGGAGACAGCTCTTCCTTACTGCAATCTTCACCGCATCTCCTTGCCAGAGTTGGATATGAAGGTCACTGCACACATCAACAACATGTTCTCGGAGGGGCACACACTGGCGGATGTCCACACTCTGTTGGCAGCTGTGAAGTTCATGAGGCCAGATGTGAAGAAGGTCCAAGATTTGACCCGTTCTTCCAAAGCAGCAAGGGGCTTCAAGAAATTGGCGCCTCCTATGGGCCGGGTGCCCATTCCCTACCCATGCTTGGCCAAGATTGTACAATTCTTGATCAGCAAGGGAGAGTGGATGGTCGGATTTTGGATGCTTCTCACCTGGGCTGTGTGTGCGAGACCCGGCGAGACCTTGAAGCTCCTGTGGAAACACTTGATCCCTCCATCCAGGCTGCAGCCTCAGTGGATGGTGGTGTTGAGCGCGCCGGATGCATCCGGGGCCGCTCGCCCGTCAAAGGTGGGAGAAATGGACGAAAATGTGATATTGGATCAACCCTACCTGTCATGGCTGGGATCCGCCCTGTCACGCATGAGGGGAACTGCTCCGATCATGTCTCCCATCTTCACTTTTCCCATGAGCTTTGCCGCGCAGAAGTTCCACAGCGCAGTGATGGCCCTGAAGTACCAAGAAATAGGAATCACGTGCTCCTATCAGATCAGGCACGGCAGTGCCAGCACCGATCAGATGCAAAAGCTGCGCAGCCTCCACGACACCATGAAGCGAGGCCGGTGGAAATCCATCGGGTCAATACGCCGTTATGTGAACGGTGGCCGGGTCGCAGAGATTTTCGACTCCCTCACCACAGATCAGCAAGACTCCGCAATGGCTGCCGAAGAGATGATCCCAAAGATGTTGGCTCGTTTGCCATGCAAGCCCCAGACCAAAGTTGTGTCTTAGAGCTCTTCTCAGGCTCCGGACATTTCTCCAGGGCCCTTCGCAGATGTGTACCTGCTTCAGTGCATGTTTACGAGGTTGATATCAACCATGGCCCTCAATTTGATCTTACCAAGCGTAGCTTTCAGCGATTCATTTTCAAGCTGATCAAAAAAGGTAAGGTTGTGATGGTTTGGCTGGGAACTCCGTACAATTCCTGGTCACGGGCCAGACGCGGGGATGGCACAGATCCCCCACTATTGAGAAACCAACAGTATGTTTGGGGTATTCCTGGACTCTCTGAAAGTGATGCTCACAAAGTTGCAGTCGGTAATATCTTACTGAAATTCTCTGCTGCTGTTTTTCGACTTTGTCTTCGTTTGCAAATTCCTGTTGTTTTGGAGAATCCTCACACATCCATGATTTGGTATGCTTCTCCCGTTCAACATTTGCTGACACACCGCAGCGTCAACTGTGAGTTCACTGATTTTTGTCAAGAAGGATGCCCTTACAGAAAGAGAACCCGCTTCTTGTTTGCCTTCCTTGACCTCAGGCATTGCTGCCGCCACTGCCCAGCTCGACGCGGCCGCTGCAACAAGTCCGGGAAGCCACATCAACAATTGGTTGGCTGTCCAAATGGGATGTTCCTTACCAAATTGGCTGAACCCTACCCACTGTCATGGTGCCGTAGATTAGCCTCCACCATAGGGTACTCCATAGCTGCGAAAATAGCTGAACCAATTCATGAACTCTTTAATCGGTAACCCAGAGTCCTCCTTGGCATAGTTCTTTGTGAATGCCGCGTATATTTGGATGTGGCCTCGATTTAAAGGGCCATATTCATTTGTGTGGCGCGCGCATTTCACATATAGAATTGAATCTGGCCACGGGAAAAGGCGCGGATCATTCCACTGATTTAACTGAGTGTTGAGAAGGGACTGCTTGAGTGACCGCTGTCCACATCCTCAAGCTTCACCCCCCCTTTTTTTGTTCTTTGGTTTTTTCCCTTCCCGCTTGTGGATGTGGCCTCGATTTAAAGGGCCATATTCATTTGTGTGGCGCGCGCGCATTTCACGGGAAAAGGCGCGGATCAGAAATGTGTCAAAAGCTCCAATCGTCCATTGATGTCCCATTGTCATTTAATAATATGTTATAACATTTTTTCAAATCACAGTGATATGGATGTTATCATATCTTAGCTAACCATATATATATATACACAAACCATATATATATATATAAATCAGGGTGATGTTCGAATTTCCAAAATCATCGACTTGTTCGCTGGTAGGCCTGCGCGGAACTAGGGGTGGACTATACAGATACCAGCGGCGAAAGCACCTTCATGAGACGCTAAATCCACGACGACTGGGGAGTCGATGAAGGGAACATATTTTACTCTGATTGGTGGTTTAGAACATGGGTTTTATGACTTTCCATACTATATGGAATGTCATCATCCCAACTGACTTTCATTCCATCATTTTTCAGAGGGATTGAAACCACCAACATCTTTTAATCATTGATAAACCATATTATTCAAGATCATTAACCATATCATAACCAGATATTAACCATATATTAACCAGTTAAAACCATATATTAACCTCAAGCAACTCCAAGAAAATGGGGATACCAAGGGATAATTTTGCAATGGATGGGCAATGGGCTATCCTATTTTTAGACAAACCCGAGTAATACCCAGGTAGAAATGGGTGAGTTTCACACAGTATACATATGTATATACGTATATATATATACTGTATATATATATACTGTATATATATATACTGTATATATATATATATACTGTATATAAATATATATACTGTATATATATATATATATACTGTGTATATATATACACACTGTATATTTTTTGAGTACAAGACCTCAGAGTGTGGGTGAAAGTTTCCAACAAAACGACCTGGCTCTGTTCATTGGATGTGAAAATCAGGAGTGCTCTGTATTTACCCTCAACCGCATTGTTTATTATTATACATTATATAATATATAAGGTACATATAACATATATGTAACATATATATATATAACACACATATATATATATATATGTATATAATGTATAATAATATATATATATATATAATGTATAATAATATAAATAATGTATAATATAATATATATAAATATACATAATATAGTATATACAATATATATATATACACATATATATATATATATAATAGTATATATAATGTATTGTTTGTTTAGCACGGATGGAACATGGATTCATGTCAGATATCATGATACTGACAGCACTTAGGTTTGAAACCTCCAGGCAGATTTAGATAAATTTATAGGAACCCCAAACACATTTGGGTATGGGTCAAAATTAGGTACCCTCAATAATTGGATGGTTAATACTAAACTAGACTAACATCTGTGGTCCCCTAGGTCTTCCATTTTGACCCACATCCATTTCAGCAAAGTACCACTGAATTTCAGCATCGGATTCTACCAACTTCACTTTGGGGATTGCTAATATCAGCTTCTGACCCATTCCATGGTAGAACCATTCCAGTCTTTGCTGGTAAAATCCACTGTTTTTGCAAAGCCAGCTATAGGTTAAAATCCAGTGAAATCAATCAATATAGCCAGATATAGCTATAACATGATTGGGCGATTAATGATTGATGTGGCAGGTTTCTAAATCATTTCAATTTTAATCATTTCAATCAATCATTTTTTTGGCCACCCAAACCCCTCAGGACAGATGATCGAGAAGTACGACGCCGTGGCGCGCCAGAGTGGGGCACGCATTGCTGTGCATTGCGGCCAGGTGGGGATGAGGGTGGTCCAAGTGCCAGAAGAACAGCACACAGACGGGCAAAAGTTAGGCGATGTTAGGCCTGATTTCAGATGAATATAACTTCAAAATACTTGACAACGATGTAAAACTTGTGATTCTTATTGATTTTTGTTAAGTTTAGCCTGAAGTCAGATGATTTAGCGCTGAACAAGAATTGGAATAGAAACTTTAACCAACAAAGGCCTTTCAGGCAACTGAGAACAGCCACTGAAGATACTTCAACCTGTTTCAAATGGGTCGAAAGCACCAGCGGCAGGTTTTCTAATTGCAGCATCGTTTTTTGATAATCTAGACAAAATCGAGATAAATCGGGGACATTAGTCAAGCAGTATCCATATATTAAATATATATACATTACATGTATATTGTGAACTCAATCCTGGTTCCAATTATCCCATTATCCCAACATCATGAAATCATTTTGACAATATTAGAAGTACCCTTTTTGTTAAAGATCAGATCAGCTATCCTGTTCTGTATGGGTTTGTCTGAAAACAGGCTATCCCCTAAATCTTCTGCTAAATCATCATGATCCGTATTTAAATAGTTATTGGTGTTACACACCATTTTCAGACACATATATATATATATACACATTACACATATATATATATATATCATATACACATTACACACACATATGTATATATATATACATACATACATACATACATACATACATACATACATACATACATACATACATACATACATACATACATACATACATACATACATACTACATACATACATACATACATACATACATACATACATACATACATACATACATACATACATACATACATACATACATACATACATATTTATATACATACATACATACATATATATATATATACATATGTATATACATATATATATATATACATGTATATATATAATATACATAATTCATAAAAACCATATAGTTGGACTATATCCCATTGGCCCATCATATCCCCGTCCCAAAAATCTCATGAGATCCAGCAATCTCCCGAAAACTCTCCAGGACTGCGTGCCCTGGGACCTGATGGTATGGAAGTTGTGGCAGCTGAATGGTAGCGATCTGATAGGCCCGCGGAAGAGAATTGGGGTGGAGATTTATGGAGGACAACGAAGCATTTCCCAGTACAATGGTCAGTTTCCCATGAAAAAATAGCATCAAACATGCTGATTTTTCCCATAAACACACATAAACATGCTGTTTCTTTCCAGTATAAATGCATCAAACATGCTGATGTTGACAGTAACCACTTGGGATTTCAGAGGATTCGGAGGATTTCAGCTGCAAAAACTTAGCTTCGTTAGAAACAGTGAGACGAGACGATCGGAGATCAAGGGCCAGAAATCACCGCCAGATGGCTCCAAATCACTGAACATGGATAGAGAAATGGATTTAATGGATATATGAATGGATATCTTAATTTGGAGCCAGAAGGGTATATTGAATATCATTTATGAAACTACCGATACATTCATGAAAGAGTATGCATATTAGGTGATTTTAGTGGATCTACTGGCGAAAACAGTGGGGATCTAACGGGGATAATCAAGAACATGGTATATCAGTTGTTGGTTACAAATTAGAAGCCTGATTTGGTTGCAGGTGAAATCCCCAATTTGGGTGGTTCGAAATCTGTTTTGTTGATTTGCCAAGTTCAGTGGCTCCAAAAAATTGCGTAGCAACTGAGCCTTTTTCCCACCATCTCACTGTATAGATTTTTGGAATCAACCGTTAACATAACATGTTAAAACCCTAGTAACTATAGTCTGATTGGATCCATTCGTGTTGGGGGCCAGGGGTTTTTGGCAACCCCAAAAAGATCGAACGGCACAAATCATCTATTGATAGGTTACCCTTTGGTAAACATACAAAAAACTCTGGAACATCACCAACTATTTAATGGGTAAATCAACGAACTTTCAATGGCCATTTTCTATGTCGCAAACTGTTGGTCAGCTGCAGGAGTCAAACTCCTGGGCGAGATGCGAGGTGTGCCCAGTGGAGGTGCGCTGTGAAAAATGCTTCCCCTGGATGGATCCCGTAAACGTTGACAGTTCGATGTGGAAAACGTATGGGGAAACCGAGAAACCGCAGGAAAACACAACATGTCGCCCCAATTTTTGTTCCAGATCTGTGTTAGTTTGTGATACTCACATCTCCGTTTATCGTTAGATGAAACCATGAAAACCATGGTCATATCCAACGGGAGAGGAGGATCATCTCCATCTTGCTGGTTAAGAGTGGCCAAGATCCTTGAGATCTCCATGCCGGGGACTGGGGCTTTAGGATCCCAGCATCTCTGGGAGAGATTCTACAGAAGCATTTGCAAAATCTATTGGTCCATGGATCAAAACAGAAGACCTTGGGACTCACTTAAAATTACGTCATGTTTGGTTCTAATAAATCGGTCCATTCCTGGGTACCCCAATGGCTGGATCCCTGCAGTACAATCAAGGCAACCACCAGCAATCAAGGGTATGTCTCCAGTGGTTGTTTGATAATGTTTCAGATGGCTTTGAAAAAGGGGCTCCACCGTAAAGTGACCATGTCTTCCCGCCATTTTCTCTCCATTAACATAGGGGTAACTACCTCCATACAAGCGTTCTTCTTGCTTGGAGTCACATTTCGATTGGTTCAATTCCAATCTTCCAAATTGAACATGCCACACATCTCCATAAATATCCATAAATCAGGACGAAATCCCTACATTTTTGGACAGACCAAAGTGGTGAAACCTTTTTTTTTTTGCCTCGAAAGCCTCGTTTTCAACCTGGCAGGCACCTTGAGTACGGCAATGCTGAGCATGCGCACGAAGCCCAGCAAAGGACCTGGCAAACTTGGTGAACTACTGTATAGTCTTTATGGTGTCTTTATGGAGCATAAAACTATATTATACCCTCTGGTAAACTAACATAACTATGGAAAATCACAATTTTTAATGGGAAAATCAACTATAAATGGCAATTTTTAATAGCTATGTTAGTTTACCAGAGGGTAAATATATTATTATAATAACATATAGTTAATGGGCTTTATGAGCCAACTTATAAGTTAATAAGGCCCCACTTGAAGGCTGATGTTTGAAATCCAGGCATTTGCAAAACCCCATGGAGTGCTGACCCACATGGTGAGAATCCCCATACCCCGTGACTGTACAGGTTGTTTTTTCAATGGTATTTCATACTTTGGGGCCCAGGTGGCTCAATGCAGGTGGCAGACGTAAATTTAAGGGTACAGTAATGTTGTACAGTCGTGTTTTTTTTTTGACAAGACGTGTTTTCCTGTCAACTTTCCCTTCTCGCTGAATTCTTTGACCCAACCACCAGCTGACGGACCACCAAGCAGCTCGGAACATTCCGTCCATCCTGATCCTCCATGGCGTCAACAGGAACTTTGGGCTTCGACCCTCTGTACCTGGCAGATGGCAAGAAGTCGGAGTTTTTGACCCAGGTCGACCTGCCCAAAGGCACCCTGCATGGGGCCCTGGGCAGTGGCTGCGATTCACCGAAGTCATGGCGGTTTCCGAAGTCATGGTACCCCAAAATCATCCAGTCATTAGAATCATTAGACCATTTAGTCGCATTGAAAACCATGGTTTTTTGGAGATCCGAGAATTTGAGAACCCCCCATATGGGATCATACTACTTCAAGTACCCAATAGATTCAATGTATTGGGGAACACTGCTCAATTGTTGAGTGCAGAATTTTTGGAACGAGTTTTTATGTGCCAAGAAAGAAGAAAGGTTTTTATGAGATATACATGTCTGACACATACTGTAGTACAGTAACAGAAAGCATTTTTTGAGTGTCAATTTTCGGGCCCACCGCAACTGGTTCTGTGTCAAACTTCAAGAACCCAGGGCCCACACCATTTCTTATATCACGACCCAATTGTTTCCACGTGTGCTGTTTGTTCAATCTACAAATTTCAGTTGCTTCTCTACACAGTGACTTGGCACAGCCCCAAGTCATAGGTATTGTCCACTTAAGCCAGCCCAGAGGTGATACCTAGAGAGGGGAAAGAAGGAAAACTGCTGTCAAAACCCCCAAAGTTGTTGTGAATCTCAAAAATAGTGTCTTAGATCACCTTTTTTGCTAGCTTTGATTCTTAAACCAGCATTTTCAAATGTGCTTGGATTTCCATGGGATGGATGACCACAGACCCCCAATTTTTCACTCAAAACCATGCGGAGCTTTCCGAAGTCATGGGGATACCCCCTAATCATCCACGTAATTAGTCATTTCAGTATTGAAACCTATGGTTTTAAGGATCCCCCATTTGAAGAAACCCCCATATATTGAAACCTGTTCCGTTCTCTGCCATTGGCATCATCCATTTTAATGGGATTTTCCATTGTAAACCATCTATTTTTGGGGTACCCCCCAAGTATGGAAACCCCAAATAGGGAGGTAATTAGTTCTAGTATGTTATAGTAGTTGTGTGTGTATATATATATACATATCCTCCATAAACCCTAGTCATTGGAGTTCGCTAACGAACTGAGACACCACCTTGTATCCCAATAGATACATATAGATACTATCAATATATATCTATCTATATATCTATCGAATTGTCTTTCTATATAGGTTCTTTTCTAACTCCATAGATATCTCTATATATATATAAGTATACATCTGGGTTCTTTTCTAAACTCCATAGATATCTATAGATTTTCATATCTACGTCTACCGCGAACTCGAAGCTGGTCTGGCAGTTTTGGCAGGCAGCCGCTACTACGAGGAAGCGGGCCAGAAGGGTGGACCTTGGATCATGGGACCCGTGATGGCCAACGCTGTGCGACGTCGCGAGGCAATACTTAACGCACTTCACGCGTTGTTTACGTGGTGAAAAATCCTGGCCTCAACATAAGCATCAAAAAGGGGATCTAGCGGAAGAAAAGCATGAAAAATCAGGGTTCAAGCAACTACATCATGAGTTACATCCAGCAAAGTAACATGGCTATGGAAAACGGCCCGTTTATAGATATTAGAATGGTGATTTTCCATGGCTATGTTAGTTTACCAGTTTATCAGAGGGTAACCAATAACCATCAGAGGATCTGACGGATTGTACATCCATTACACTTGTAAATTGGAATGGGAGTATAATTGCTGGTTGGTGGTTTGGAACTTTTTTTTTTCATTCAGTTGGGAATGGAATAATCATCCTAACTGACTTTCACTCCATCATTTTTCAAAGGGGTGGCTCAACCACCAACCAGATTGGGTTCGTAGATGTTTCTTTTCAGCAAAAATAAAAAGAAGGCAAGCAAAGCCTATTCCATTGCTAAATAATATGGACATAGTTGGGATATGATGGGGATATCAACCGGCCATGCTGCGAATAATATGATGGGATATCAGGGTATGTTTCTGGGATAGACAACCAATAGCAAGGACGATATGGGTGTGTCTGAAAATGAGGTATAACGGTACGGTATAACTCTTTAATTGTGGTAATTCTCATGAGCAACATGATAAGCCATTCGATTTCGTGGTATATTCTATCGTATACATATGATCATACATGTAGAGCATTATCATATATGATGTCTGGCTCTCTCTCTCTCTCTCTCGCGCTCTCTCTCTCTCTCGATATCTCTAGATCTATATTGTATATAATTTAATGTATACAGTATATGGTATATAATTAATGTATTTACATTGTATATATTATATATACATACACATTTATAGAGGCATACATATACAATACATATATACATACATAATGTGGATCTGTATGTGGGCCAGCAACTGACGCACTTCAGAGCTCTTTTTTCGCACCGCAGAGTCTCAGGGCTTTGTTGTTTTGCTGGATCTCAGGTACCAATGCAGTTTTGAAGATGGTGCCGGATCTCAAATACCACGAAGCTATGCTTGAGACTTGGATCATTTTGGACCATCCTTTGGATCATCCTGTTCTGGCTGTGTCAACTTGTATCAACACGAGAAAAAAAAGCAGTTTGGAATCAGAGCCAAGAAGGAACGTAGCCGTAGCGTAAGCCTCCAAATTCTTGAGGTCACATCCCAGCCGAATGGCAACCACTAGGGATGCTTCACACATTTCGCTTGACTCTCCATACTCCACGATTTTACACTTCCCGCCACACTCCTCAGTCTACGGTAGGATATCCCGGGGAAAATTTACAGGACGCAAAAGAAAGTCTACGAAGTTGTGAAACACAACTACCCTCTGGTAATTTAACATAGCTATTGAAAATGGGCATAGAAATAGTGGATTTTCCCATTAAAAATGGTGATTTTCAATAGTTACGTTAAATTACCAGAGGGTAAGTGTCAATCAAAAACGCCATGTGCAGAACCGGCTTGGTTCGTTTTTTTTCTGTCGGAAAGTGCCACAAGGAGAGCAGCGATTTTGGATTGTCGACTCTATCCACCATGGCTATGGGCATTGCTGTCCCTTGGAAGTATCGAATCAACGAATCCGATGGACCTAAAATGGGGGTATCCTATGAACGCACATCGTTCCAACAAAAAACCACAGATCATAGTTGGTAGCTAGCACCATGTACATAGAAAGATGAGGTTATCCAGATGATATCACATAGAGGAAAGATGAGCTTATCCAGAAGATGATATCTAATGATATCTAATGATATCCAATGAACATACTGTACTTACGTAGTAGACTTGTAGTACGATTTCCGTTGCTTTCCCTCAAAGCAATGCCCAATATTACGAAACATAGATCTGTCTGAATTTGATCGCCACCAAGGTGGGCTATCTATCAAAGCATATTGCAGTTGTTTGGTCCAACCAAAGATAGATAACTGGTTGGTGGTTTGGAACATGACTGGATTATGACTTTCCATCATATTGGGAATAATGATCCCAACTGACTTTCATAGTTTTCAGGGGGGTTGAAACCACCAACCAGTAAATATAGCCCATATTTCATTGTGTTTGGTTGTCCCATCATACCGAACTTTTAGAACCATACAATGCTTGGCTTTCCACCTGGACCGTGACTTGGCTAAAAACAACTTTACACCCCACAAAACATCTATATGACTGTACCATGTCATGTTGGAAATTCCTGGTCATAGAAACACAAAGTTTATTTGTGGAACCCCCAAGTTTGGTGGTTATGAAACCATGGCCCTTGTCGACCTCTCTGTTGGATAAATCAGTTATCCAACCCAGTTTCATTGGTTAAATCCTAATTTCATCTACTCAAATTCAATTTTGGCAAGATCTCAGCTTTTTCTTGGTTAAATCATGTTTTGTTTGGTGAAACGCACAGTGGCATCGCAGTTTTCTTAGTGAAATAAACCACCTAAAATTGTCCCTGGTCAGATCCATTTTTTGGCAAAACTCCGCAATTTCCTGGCAAACTCTGGAAATCAGCTATCTAAAGTTGTTTGGTGAAACGAACTCTTGGTAAAACGATCCACAATGATCCACATTTTTGTGCTTTCAAACTCCTTTTCTGGCAAAACGATGGAGGTTTACCTGCCCTTCACGCAGAGCTTGTGGTACAAGATGGGCGTCTTGCCCGAACCCGGCAGCGGTCCGAGTGCCGAAGAGATGGAGAAAGGCTTCCTGACCCTCACGGGCTGCTTGGTGTGGGTCCAAAGGGTCAGATCTGGACATTCCATCATTATACATATACACACAATCCCATATGCTCAATGTATGGAATATTTACCTACATTTACCCAACAAATGGCCCAAATGTAGATAAATATACTATACATGGAGCATCTGGGAATATATGTCTGGTTGGTGGTTTATGGTTTGGAATATGACTGGATTATGACTTTCCATGATATTGGGAATGTCATCATCCCAACTGACTTTCATATTTTTCAGAGGGGTTGAAACCACCAACCAGATATGTTTATTTATTTGATATACAGTATACATATATATTCGTATATTATAGATATGTATCTATTTCTTGTTTCTTCTCTTTTGACCATTTGTCCATACACGTTTTCCCCTGGTATCTTTTTTTTCTTCTCACATGAGGAAGCTCCACCCGAGGATATGCGGAGACCAAGAACAAAGAGGCCAAGATGAAGGCTGTCATGAAGTTCTACACAGATCCTGGCGACACGGCTTGAGTTTTCCTGGAATCCACATAGACCTCACGAACCGTGTATCCAAATGTTCTAACCCATGAATGCGCATTCTTTTCCAACATTCGGTCTCAATACCTTTATCGTTCTTTTAAGCTGGGGAGATGCAAAAAATTGATTGATGCCCATTTCTCCTGGAGATCGGTTGTGTCAGTTCAGTGGCAGACCCAGTGATGTCCTAAGGTGGTTTTTGCATGCTTGAGATCATGGTCGCACTGCCAATCGAGGAAACGCACTCAATCCAAGAAACGTACTCAATCCAAGAATCGTACTCAATCCAAGAATCGTACTCAATCCAAGAATCGTACTCAATCCAAGAATCGTACTCAATCCAAGAAACGTACTCAATCCAAGAAACGTACTCAATCCAAGAAACGTACTTCCAAGAAACGTTCTCAATCCAGGAAACGCTCTCTCCAAGAAACGTTCTCAAGGAAACGTTCTCAATCCAAGAAACGAAATCCAGGAAACGTACTCAATCCAAGAAACGTTCTCAATCCAGGAAACGTTCTCAATCTACTCAATCCAAGAAACGTTCTCAATCCAGGAAACGTTCTCAATCCAAGAAACGTACTCAATCCAAGAAACGTTCTCAATCCAGGAAACGTACTCAATCCAAGAAACGTTCTCAATCCAGGAAACGTTCTCAATCCAGGAAACGTACTCAATCCAGGAAACGTTCTCAATCCAGGAAACGTACTCAATCCAGGAAACGTTCTCAATCCAGGAAACGTTCTCAATCCAGGAAACGTACTCAATCCAGGAAACGGTGTTTTAACTTTCGGGGAGCACAGAATGAAGTTGTAAAAAAGTAGAAAGTATGTTGGCCATAACGAATGCGAATGTGAGATTTATGAAGCTAAAACCGTAGAAGGTGTGCAAAAACGACATCGTTCTTTTTGGAACGTACTTTTTACTTTTGCAGAGTTGATGGAGGCGATCTGGAAATGGGATGGGGCTGCTGGGTGGGGAACTCAATCCAGGAAACGTACTCAATCCAAGAATCGTACTCAATCCAAGAAACGTACTCAATCCAAGAAACGCACTCAATCCAAGAAACGTACTCAATCCAAGAAACGTACTCAATCCAAGAAACGTTCTCAATCCAAGAAACGTTCTCAATCCAAGAAACGTTCTCAATCCAGGAAACGTACTCAATCCAAGAAACGTTCTCAATCCAGGAAACGTTCTCAATCCAAGAAACGTACTCAATCCAAGAAACGTTCTCAATCCAGGAAACGTACTCAATCCAAGAAACGTTCTCAATCCAGGAAACGTTCTCAATCCAGGAAACGTACTCAATCCAAGAAACGTTCTCAATCCAGGAAACGTTCTCAATCCAAGAAACGTACTCAATCCAAGAAACGTTCTCAATCCAGGAAACGTTCTCAATCCAGGAAACGTACCCTCCGAGCTATGGACAGCAAACCTGTTGGGGGTTGTGCACCTTCTAAAAGAAGGAAGGTGCAATAGAAAAGGTACAAGTTTGGAGAAAAACAGAATCAAATTGAGTTTGGGTATTGCCAGCACTGCTTGCACAAAATGTGTACCTAAAACAACCTATGATATTCCCAAAAAACATAAAGAAGGGTCAGCTTCACGAATGCAAATGTGAGAGTTAGAAATGTATGCAGCGTCTTCTTATTTTCCAAGACACATGGGGGGTGGGGGGGTAATAACGTTCCTTGGCCTTGATGTGGGAAGAACAAATCATCAAGGACGCAACTTTCATTTTCTCTCTACTTTTTGAGAATCTTATAGTACATCCCCAGTCCGTCTATGCACTGCATTCGCCCCTCTTTCTTTATGTTTTTTGGAGTTGTGGCGGCACAGCTGTTGTATGTTAAAACTTGGACCCATGGTTGACATGTCTGTCCCGACTTCTGGCCTTCATCCCCGCTTTTCTCTACTGCGTCAACAAACATCAAACTCGTGGTCAGTACATTGGAACATGTTACATATAGGTATTTACTGAATGAAACATAAGGGAAATTAAATCTGAAATAACACACGATGCTAAACCACCCTGAACATCCCTGAACACATTGATCCTTCTGACGCTCCATTTACATGAATTATCACATGATACACTTACACAAACCTACCAAACGGCTGCATGCAAACATGACACATGCCGAATTCAAGCTTGAAAGGTAAAAAAAACACGGTCCCTCGTGTACACGGCGCATTCTATAACGGCAATCTGAAAAGAAACCCTGTGAGTTGACACATTGTACGGTTGTACCATTCCTTCTCTCCAAATTCCGCCTGTCTTTTTTGGTCGGAAGGGGATGATCATTGAACTGGAACTGCCGTTCTCAACCCGTCGGATTATTTTGGACGGACAGCGGCTGTTACACTAAAAACACAGAAGGGAGTGCAGTTCCACTGAGAAAAGTGGGTTGTAGGGGTTATATCCCAAGTGATGGAGGTTAACAGCCCACATTATAGCCATTAATGGGTTATATCATGTTATATCCCAACTGATGGAGGTTAACAGCCCACAGTTATAGCATATTATAATTAGCCATGAATACTTACTGGCACCTTGTTACAGCTCACCTTTTTGTAGCTTCCCCAGGCTACAAGGACACGGCGCGCATGTGCGTGGAAGCCGCTTTGGCCCTGGTGGAGCTGCCCAAGTCTCAAAAGGCGGGTGGCGTCTACTCCCCAGCCGCGGCCTGCGGGGAGGGCCTCTTCGACAGGCTGTTGGCGACGGGAACCACCTGGGAGGTCATCGAGCTCTGAGACCGACAGATTTGAGGAAAAACAGGGGCCACTGGATGGGGCGATGGGGAGTTTTGGGGCAATTCTAGCTTCGGAAACTGTGGATTTCAGGGGATCTTTGTTTTTTTCAATATGGACGAGAAAGGATTGTGAACCAGATGTGGCGATTTGAAATATGTGAGGTGGAGGAACATTGCTGGATGGTCTCTGGAAGGTAGCCCAGTTGCGTATTTCACACCCCAAGAAACTGGATAAACTCAACTAAATACGAACCCACTCTTGTCTGATATCTCATGCCCGTATATTGGGGAACATCACTATACATTAGGGGAAATCTCTTCTTGGAAGTGCGATTCCAGTGGATATATATATATATATATAACATAAAAAACACTAGTTGAGTTGGGCACCATATCCCAACTTATGGGGGTTTGTAACATTTTATAGCCTCCGGTAATTTAACGTAGCTACCGAAAATGGCCCAGCTATAGTTGATTTACCTATTAAAAATGGTGGATCTTTCCATAGTTATGTAAACGTTTACCAGAGGGTAACCATCCTTTCCTCATTTTCGGATCCTCCACATTATTAACCCATTATTATATAATAAAATTATTAACCATTTATTAACCATTAATTATTGTGTTACCCACATTAAAATCACTACAGGTTGATTAGAAATTGTTAAATTTATTAACCATTATAATTATAAGCTTCATAACCATTATATAGCCATTATTATAACCATTAGTTTACCAGAGGGTAACCATCCTGGTTAAAGATTGTTAAACCTTTCTTTCACCTCAGCTAGTGATTCAGTTCGGCCAGGCTCAGTCCTTGCTGTCCGAAAATCCGTCACGACGGCCCAGTGGAACAGTGGGAACTATGTGGAACGCGCTGAAGGGCGCGGTTGGAGCGCAAAAACCTAGCAGAGCAACCTCCAAGTGGTCGGAAAATATGGAAAATCCATGAAGATCCCAAAGTACCCTCTGGTAATTTAACATAGCTATGGAAAATCACCATTTTCAATGGGTAAATCCACAATAAATGGCCATTTTCAATAGCTATGTTAAATTACCAGAGGGTATTTCCAGTGGAAACTCTGATTCATTTTTGTTGCAAAGTGTAGCCCAAAGCCATTGAAAAAATACGTTTCTGTGCTTTTCTTGGGCCACAAACCTGGAGGATGTGGTAGACCCAATGGCAGAAATCACAATCAGTTTCAGAGTTTGTGGTTGACAAATGCGAAGCCATTGGGTAAACAGTTAATATATGTTAATATCGGTTCATAGACTAGATGGTCAGTAGTTCAAGATGACTTACTGTTCTGGCAAACGATGGGTTAAGACGGGTACGCCCAGGATTCATCCCTCATCCCCAATGAGAAACCGGAAATGGGTGCTGGTGACATCTCCTGTTAGTTTCCCAGAGGCTATTCAGAATTCGACATATTAATTCTGCAATCCAGAGCGCCATCCCATAATAAATCACCATAGAATCACCATATAATCACCATGGAAAATCACCATGGAAAATCACCATTGGATCCATATAATCACCATTCAATCACCATTGGATCACCATGAAAAAATCACCGTTAAATGATGTTAAATGACCGTTAAATCACCGTTGGATCACCGTGAAAAATCTCCGTCAAAAACATCCCATGTGTCTTCCGCGACGGCGTAGGTCCGATGTGGCGAAGCACATCACCATGATCCGCAACTGCGCGGCCGAGCAGAACCTCGAGGGCGTCGCTAGGTTTGGAGATGAGATCCTGAATGGAGGGGTTGAAAATGGTGGATTTTGGGATTCAAAGAGGCCAAAGAAAAATATCCTGGAAAATAGGTTTTGAAGGGTTTCAAGTGGTTTTTTCGAGTTCATCAAGGGTGTTTTAAGGGATTTGACCAATTGGTTTAACTGACATAGATGGGATATCATGAGATATGAACGGAAACCTGGTATTGAAGCAAACCAAAAATGCTGTCGAAGAAACTGAGCCAGAATAGGGTTGGTGAAACCATGAAACGTTGGGTTATAATTTATAATGGATTAAATGGATCTAGTATAGGATTTCAATGGGAGATTCGCGAACACTTAGGATATTTACTGGGCACCGATGTGTCTTGTTTGGCCCCACACCCAAAAAAAGAAACAACAGAGTACCCTCTGGTAAACTAACATAGCAGAAAATCACCATTTATAATAGGTAAATCAACGGTAAATGATCATTTTCAATAGCTATTTTGACATAACCACAGGGTATGGGTTTAAGCAACCAATGTGGTTTCACCGAACATCGAACCCAAAAAAAAACCGATTCACTTTGTGATCCTTTGTGGGTTATGCTCAAACGGGATGGGATCCTCTTTAACCCCCAGAATTTCGTATGACATATGTAATGTTCACGTCAATTTGAGTCAATATCAATTTCTGCTTAGTCATTTCCTATCAGGCAAAAAAAAATGCAAAGTAGCATGTATCATTAATATCATTACACTTCAATACATATACTGATGATATGTGGCATATTTGGTGTCCGCTTAAACAGGTCCCAACGGTCCCAACCGCCGCTGGCCGGCCGTTTCGCTGGCCTCGCTGTTCGGAACTCGCTGTTCGTTGAACGAGGCCATGAACGTCTTCGAGTCGTTGAAGCAGAGCGGAGCAGAGATGAACTCCGTGGTGTACAACACGGTGCTGGACGTGGGGAACTAAGGAACGAAGGGATTGAAGCAACACCATGGGTGATTTTTACATGATTTTAACATATTTTAACATATTTTAACCATGAACATGGTGATTTTACATGATTTTTAACCATGAACATGATGGAACATGATGGAACATGATGGAAAATGATGGAACATGAGATTTAAATCCAACTGGTTGATGATGGATGATTTATCGGCATTTTTTTGGGGGGGTTTTGATCATGATAATATGGGGATCTAGGTTTTATTCATCAAAATTGGTGATGCTACATGACGACTTAATCGTGTTTTCCCCAAAGAAGTAATACTTTTTTACATTGAAATGGCATGAAATGGCTATTTTGGGGGGTGATCCCCTATTCTTTTTACCGTGACAAAGCCAGGCCTGCGTGGAGTGCTCGCAATTGGGGAAAGCGCAGTCCTGGATGGAGCAGATGAAGAAAGATGTCCGCTCACTCAGATTCCGAGAAACCTGGGGATGGTCCGGAGGGTCAGCGGCTTACTGTGGCAAGTGAGCAATGGCTGCGATCCATCCTTGATTGATGATATTGATGATATGGGGTTACACATGGTTACACTATATTCCCAATATTCAATATATCCTAGTAGATTTAGAATTATCTATGGGAACTCCTACTAATCAACCAGTATCAAGGGAGGACGTTATGGCTTTTGAAAACAGTGGCGAACGATCATCCACTTGCGATGGGTTTTTTCCACTATCGAGTTGGATGATCCTCCACGACTCCACGTGTCTCGTTGGGCGTCCCGAAACACGGCGCAGGGGATGTCTGACGTGGTGAGCTACAACACCCTGATCAAAGCCCAGCTACAGGTGGGGTGCTGTCTTTAGGGCTTTAGGGTCGGGAAATGGTGGGAAATGAAGAAAAACTGTGTAATAGATATGAATAAGATTATTCATATGGTTTCTGGGTCTGAAATGAAATCCCCAATTTTTTTGAATAAGATTTCACACCCAGAAACTATATATCGTTGACTGGGGAATTTCCTTAATTGGGACCATTTGGGACCATGCAATTGGGGTGTTTCACAGTAGGGGGATGGGATGAATTGTGGGAATTTCATAGAGTCAACTAACTAAACAAACAAATGCAAACAATAATTAGTAATTAGGTTTTTTTTTGGGGGGATTTCATTGGATTTGATGAGATTTAAAGTTATGGTGAGTGTCATGGTGGTTCCGTGGGCTAGAAGTTGATCTTTTTGCAGGGCTGGGAACCAACAAAAAACACCATCCCCCTACTAATATTAAATACGCCACATGACTGTGCCACTGTGCCCCCTAGATGATGATCCAGTACATTCTACCAGGTTTCGATTTGGGGTATTATTATAGAACCAGAGAAGGTTGGGACAATTTCTTGGAAGATATGGCTTAACCAACAAAAAACTATAGTGTATGCAGATTCAGCAAATATAGAATGGTGATATAACAATCCTGACACTGGTTGGTGGTTGCAAATACAGTGGTTATGGGATGATGATTGCCAGTAACGAGCATATTTCTTGGATGGGTTGAAACCACCAACCAGATCAAATACTCCCCATCAAGGGCCCCTTGAAATGAACAGATCCAATACGAAATCAAGGTTTTGATTTGGGGATATGTGATGTGATAGGGGGAGGGGATTACAATTACTCAGCGTAATTGGGATAGAACATGATAGAACTGTTCACAGAAACGGGGATGTAGTCTGATATATAGCGAAAGTGGGAATTGATCCTCCCAAGTACGACTTTGATCCTGAGAATGGCTCCCAGTTTTCCGTTTTAGAAGTCCGAGAAACCAGCTGTCCGCGCGGTGGGGCGAATTTGTTCGTTGGGGGGATGTTACAATGTAGAGCAACGCGCTAAAAGATAGAACTGTAAATGGTCACTACTTAAGTTACCATCTGCTTATTTAACATAGCCATGGAACATGGCACATTTATAGATGGTTTACCTATTAAAAATGGTGATTTTCCATGGCTATGTTAAATAACCAGATGGTATATTTGAATTTCTATATCTTTTTGGGGGATTGCTGTTCTACGTTTATTCTTTCGGGGAACATCCAGTGAAGCTGACCGAAAAGAACGAGGGCTTTTTCTTTACCATTGAGCCATTGAGCTCGCAACTTCCAGGATGAAGCCTTAAGCCAGTTACCCTCTGGTAAACTAACATAGCTATTGAAAATGGCCCATTTATAGTGGATTTTCCCATCAAAAATGGTGATTTTCCATAGTTTTTTGTATGTTTACCAGAGGGTACATCGGATGTTTTTTGCATGTTTATAGAACCAAGTTTTCGGGCCGATTCATGGCATCTTTGGTTGTGGTCCAAGCATGTTCAAGCCACTTTTTTCACACATGTTTGGCCGTGGGGGTCTCCAAGGCACCAACCCAAACCGCCAGTGAATCTTATTAGTTGACAACATTTTGTTTTAGGTCTAGTAAGCCCCAAAAAGATAGACATGTATGCGCACTGATTTACAGTACTCTATAGTATTAGAGTCGGAGTTTGCTTTTCGGCGTCCTTTGGGGGTTACCCTCTGGTAAACTAACATAACTATGGAAAATCACAATTTTTAATGGGAAAATCCACTATAAATGGCCATTTTCAATAGCTATGTTAGTTTACCAGAGGGTAAACTTTTTCACATGTCAGACATGTCACCAACATCTTCCAACATCCAGTGGCGAGGCTGGCAACATGAAGAAGGCCAGGGCATTGGTGGATGAAATGCGAGCGTCTTGGCGAAAGTTCCCGACGGCTGGGATGCGGCTGGGAGAAACGTTGCAATGTTGAACCGCGGCTTAGGGACGTCTAAATTCCGGAGATGTTATCATGGATGAATGTTATTATGGATGTTATCATGGATGTGACTGGATGTGGGTGTTTTCTGAGTTCTGACTCTCAAGAGTTTCTCCCTAGATTTGGTTTGATTCTTCATAAGACAGTGAAATACAGTAGCGGTCAGTAGCGTAACCGGTGTATTGTTCACCTATCGGGGTCTCCAACAAAGACAAAAAGAGTAAGTCATGAGTCATCATCAAAACCATTCAGAATCAGGACCGCCGGTCCGTCTATGTGCCACCAAATGTCTATAGCTAGATATAGCTAGATAATGCTAGATAGATATAATCAGATAGATATAAATAGATATATGCTATATAGAATCAGTATTATAAAACCATATCGTCATGGATTGCTAGATATATCTATCAGACCAGATTAGATATATGGATAGGCCGCCACCAGCGCCGAACATCCAGTCATCCACTGATTCACGGCAAAGGAAGAAAAACTTCAGCCGTCGGGGAGCTCAAGTCATGACCAGGGATGGGCCCATGATGGAAGTCGATGACGTTCTGAAAGCTCTCCACGAATGATGCAAACAGCTTCCTTCTATCCTCTGGTTATGTCAACATAGCTATTGAAAATGACCATAGAAATAGTTGATTTACCCATTGATAGCATGGTGGATCTTTCCATAGCTAATTATGTTAGTTTACCAGAGGGTATCTCTATAAAATTCTATAAACACCAATTTGTTTGGGATTTCAAAACAATTTGGTGATGCATCCAGCCCTTGAAAATGGAGGAATGATGAGGAAATGGAAGGATGCCTAAAAAAACAGGCGGTCTTCTCCAGTTATAAGGTGGCCTTTTTGGGTCCGTGGTTAAATGATACCATGTCATACCACACCTTGGTTGGGTAGATATCGGAATTTCATGAAATTTCTTGAGTTATGGCATATGGACCCCAAGATATCCTCCAATCTCTTTGCATTTCTTTTTGGACACCACGCTTTTTTTGAATGTTTTTGACGTGCATCCCTTTTGAGAGACAGCCAATCTATGACATCATGGCATCTGCCCTCGGTTACTGTAAGTGTTGAAGCCTTTAACTATGCAGATCTGATGGTAGATGAAAGTATGTTACTTGGAGGTTTCCTAAGTCATGGGGGTACCGCTTTATCGCTGGATGGTTTATTTCATGGAAACTCCGAACATAAAATGGATGTATTGAGTTTACCCCCATGGATTGGAAACCCCACAGGAAAATCACTGGGTGTAGGGATACCGAAAGAGGATTATCCTATGAATCGAAAGTGGTGAATACCCCTAGTTAGTCAGTCCCCATTCAGTGGGATTATCCATGTATTATACATGGATTATATATATATAAGCCTGGTTACTAATTACATCTAATTACTAAGTGGGAGTTTCACCAATCGGTTTACGCAGCAAATACATGCAAATACACAATTCATATCAATATCCAATTGTGGGAATGAATTAATTTATCTTACTCTCCAATTTTTATCATAATTTGTAACAAAACCAGTAGAACGTCCAACATGTGCCATCCAATTTTAGCAAGTAATGTACCATTTGAATTAAAGAACAACTAAGCCATCCAAGTGGGTTCTATCATGTTCTATCCACATCCATGTCACATCATGTCGTCAAATTTTTTTATGGCCCATTGATGTCCACTCAATGAGTTTCCGCTGACACTTAGCACAGGCCTTGTTCAGGGAGTGGCTGGAAAATCCCCGCACCAAAAAAATGGAGGCTTTTAGCTGGGTTTAAGACACATCCAACTCAATGGATCTAAATGTGTGGTTTAAGACATCCAGTATATCCTCTGGTAAACTAACATAGTTTCTGAAAATCACTAAATTTTTAATGGGAAAATCAACTTTGAATCACCATTTTTAATAGCTCTGTTAGTTTACCAGAGGGTATCAATATCATCCAACTGAACAATCCAGTTCGAGATAGTCGCAGATCATTGTAGCATATTGTACTCCGAAAAATTGCTGAGTAGCAAATCCGCTAAGGACGTTCTTGTCCTACTTGTTCCTTGAGCAACAGAGGGATTAAGCCCCTAGAGCAAACATCTGCAAACCGGCCTGTCCATGATTTTCACAGACACATTCTTTGTCTTAAGTTGATGTTGGTTCTTGCTTGTTGAAGATTCATAAGTCGTGGAAAAAGCCTGGATCAACCTTTGTTAGATACCAATGGTACCTTAATCTTTGGCTAAAATGAGTCCATTCACCAGCTAAACATATGAGATTTTTTGGCAGCTAAGATGTCACGGAACGGAGGGTTGGATCCTCCAGTGGGCACGAGGAATTGCATCACCTTCAACGAAATCGTGAACGCCACGGTCTGCAGCTCCGACAAGCGAGTGCGCTCGGAGGCACCGTTCAGCGTGCTGAACTGGGGGAAGTGTCAGTGAAATGGGACTTTGACCAGCTGTTTTTATCATCAAAATGGGAAGTAAGCAAAGAGCATGTGAATTTCATCAGCGAAAATGAGATGGCCAGGAAAAAATAGGGGGGATCGAAGCAAGCCACTTGGATTAATTTACGATATTGATATTTAAGCTACATATCTGGCTCAGAAAAGTGGAAGGAGAAAACACAATTGGTGGCTGTGTTGTCAAATAAGGCGTCAAGACAAAGCTCGGAAAAAAAATGCGTCAAACTTGGGCGACCAACAGATTTAGGATAGCAGAGTGTACTAAACGCACCAAATCAACGGTGATTTTCACCTCATTCATAAATTTTGAGCGCGTTGGTTTGTGCTTTCCGGCGCTTTAGATGTGCTGGAAAACAGTTGGCTATTCCATTCGTCCCAGTCATTCCCTCTGCATTTTTGGATGTGTTTTCTTGTAACTGGTTGCGATACTTGCAGAGCAGATCTTCATTTGGGAACCAGTTTCCTGATAGAACATATCATATAATAGGTGAAATTGGAAAAACCTGAAAAACCATGAGTGAAACATCCTACAGTATCAACATAGTACAAACGAGTCAGATTATGCCCGCATCCGTGTTGGCTCAGAAGCTTTGGACTTCGGACATGCAGCGTCCATGTAGGTCCAGGCAAACCGCCAATTAGCTGCGGGCTCCCCATTATTGAGGCAACCCCCCAGACAATCAGCTGAAGTGCCACATTTTTGAGCTGAATTTTGGAACGACCCACAACCCAGCCACAACAATCCACCACATCAAGCGGGAGAACGTTTTCCACTTTTTAGCCCACTAGGGAAGACATGGGGCCCCATGTAACACACCGGAACACACTTTCCTTTGAGTGCAACCTACAGAGCCACAGTGAGGTCTTCCGCGCAAGTTTGTGAGATAGGCTTGGTCTGAGATGTTTCTTGCTCGCTAGTTGTCCTTTTGACCATGTGCAGCACATTTCTTCTCCATCTCATCAGGTTCGATCCCAAGTTGACCTATACTTGGCAGCATTCCACGCATTTTCTCAGACAGCTATTTCTTCCTCCCACCGGACCCCAGCAAAGCCAAGAGAAATTCATCAACAAAAATCATCAACAAAATCTCCGGCCACCTCACCCCACCCAAACTTTAGAGTACCAAGACTTGTAGAGCATTAGCAACCCCCACAAAAGATTGACAGTATGGGTTTGTCCAAAACACGTCAAACTTGCAGTTTTGGGATAGGGAAACTGGAAAATGATGATCAACTATCAACTTTGGGGTACTAAAAGTAGCATATTTCCTTACCGATCTATTTTTCACACAAAATCTCAACAACAACAAGGAGTCAGTATCAAAAACATCAAAGCATCTTCCAAAAAACAATCACTGGTTGGTGGTTTGGAACATGGCTTTTCTGACTTTCCATTCAGTCGGGACTTTCATCATCCCAGCCTTTCACTCCATCATTCAGATTTTTCGCCCAGCAGATATCCAGATCACTAGCTGGATGTGGGTCAAAATGGAAGACCTAGGGGACCACAGATGTGAATGTCTAGTTTAGTATTAACATGTATTAACCATCCATAATTTTGGGGTACCTAATGACTTGACCCATACCCAGCTGACGATTTTCGGGGTTGTTCATCCCCCAAAACTCCGCCGTGACGCCATGGCTGTGGCGCCTCTGGAGCTGCGGTGGCTGCGCCTGTTACTGGCCTGGCGAGCGGTGGAGGCGGTGGTCTTTTCACCGCAGGTGGAGCCTGAACTGCAGGCTATGGGGGGTGGTATCTGGGATGCATTTATAGTAATAGTAACATATCATATAATATTATATATATATAAAATATTTAGATTATATTATATTTATATTTATATTATATTTATTTTTTTTCCATATAATATTAAATGTTATATTATATTATATTATACTATGTATTTATTATAGTATGTATTTATTATAGTAGATATGTATCCATCTAAGATATCTATTCAATTATATTGATATTGTTTGATGTAGCTTACAGTTTCATTGTTGATATTCATATATATATATTGTATATATAGAATGGATTGTAACAGTTGTTGATATTTAAATTACATTTATCGATCTTTACTTATATCCAGTGATACATGTTATACATTCATATATTCACAATATATATATATATATGTATATATGTATCAATTCATATTATTATCATTGCCATTACTTATGTATTTTTGTTATACTTAAAGATCATATTATTACTTATTTTTTCATTGTCAATTCATTTTTTTATTATTATCATCATTGTCATTGTCATATTATTATCATATTATCAATTCATTGTGATTTCTCCATGTGTGGGTGTATATACTTGAAGCCAGGTGTCAGCTTTGCCACGTTGAGCCATCATGGGGATCCAGCCCCCTGAGAGGGGCTTTCATGCAATGGGCTGGTGGTTAATAATGGTTAATAATGGTTAATAATGGTTAATTAATGGTTAATAATGGTTAACAATGGTTAATAATGGTTAATAATGGTTAGTTAATGGTTAATGATGGTTAATAATTTGGAGGAGCGGAAAATGAGGAAAGGATGATTACCTTCTCGTAAACATACAAAAAACAACTGTGGAAAATCACCAGCTATTTAATGGGTAAATCAACGAACTTTCAATGGCCAATTTTCAATAGCAAACTGTTAGTTTACCGGAGGGTAATATCCATCTAACATCCATAGAACATATATACTGTAAATCCATATATATATACATAAATCCATATAGAATCTTTGCCAAGGGAAACAAATTGCTTGATATTTTTAACTCAGGATGCCGAGATAGCAGAACTGCATGCTTCGATCGAGGAGACCAATGCAAAGCACGCTGTGCAAAGTGCAAAGTGTGGTGGCTTTGGGTGGGGGAATTCTCACACAAAATGGATCAAAAGTGTTTTTTTATTTGCCCGGGTTGATACCTATTTTTGGTTCATGTTGGTTTGTTTTCACCATTTTTTATCTACAAGAATAAATTTTGACAGTGTTGACATCCAAGAGTCGCTTTTTCATCAATTTCTGGCCAACAAGAACAGGGGCTTTGAAAGGAAGACATTGGGTTCAACACGTATCAATTAGAATAGCTTCGACTATGCGTTGACCCAGAATGTGGCATTTTGAGGCTTGAGACATTATCAAACTCCCTAAAACAACCATGGAACACATTTGAAACCTTTGGAAAGTCACATCGAAAACTACCCTCTGGTAATTTAACATAGCTATTGAAAATGGCCATTTATAGTAAGTTTTCCCATTAAAACTGGTGGATCTTTCCATAGTTTTTTGTATGTTTACCAGAGGGTAAAACGAGCACCGAGCTACCAGGACCAAAAATCCAAACACCAAAAATCCAGTTTTCGCTTCCAGGAGCTCTGGCAGCGTTTAGGGAGCTTGGCAGAGGAAATGTGCCTTGTCCTTGTTGAAAAAGGACCAATGGAGGATCACGAAAAACCACTTAGTTAAAGGTTGATGATCCCGGTTTTTGGATGTTGTCGTAGCTTAAAACAATTTAAAACCTATGGTTATCCCATTGAAAACATGGTGTATGGTCCCCTGGGGTTTTGCAAGTCTTGGGGGGCCAAGTTATAGTTCCAATATGATGGGCATTTTTGGGAAGACAGCGGGTGAGGTTTACCTCAATTGTGGAGAACCATCGATTTCACCAGAGGTGGTATTTGATATCATGTTTTTTTTTTTAAAAAAAACTGTAATTCAGAGGTCTGAAATTTCTGCGCTTTGTTATCAAAATCGAGATTTTTTGATATTTTTTAGGTGTTTTACTATCAAAAATAGTCCCGTTCTTCAATGAAGTTCTCAGAATAGTTCCAACACATTTCACCAGGATCTTCAAGGTCCGAACAGCTTGGGTGCTGTTCGATGGTAGGTTTCCCGGTGCCCAACCTGCTCCAGCCCACGTGATCCAAGGATTGCTGAAAGTGAACCCTTTTTTTATCTGTGTCCACTGTGATCCTTTCAAATTTACCCTTTGGATATTTAAGCCGGTAAATCATCATAAATCATCATAAATCATCATAAATCATCATAAATCATCATAAATCATCATAAATCATCATAAATCATCACAAATCATCATAAATCATCATCAATCATCATCAATCATCATAAATCATCATAAATCATCATAAATCATCATAAATCATCATAAATCATCATAAATCATCATAAATCATCATAAATCATCATAAATTTCATAGATCATCATAAATCATCATAAATCATCATAAATAAGCATAAATCATCATTAATCATCATAAATCATCATATATAAATCATCATAAATCATCACGGGCCATTTTCCATAGCACGCTGTCAAACAACCAGAGGGTATGACCACACCCAGGTCCACCTTGTTTCAAGCACCTCCAAACCTTCCCCAAACAATTGCCCCGGTGCCATATGAGCTACAGATGCAACCCGTGTCTGAAACACGGCCAGTGATGTTTTTCTTGACTCCACCCATTTGTGTCATTTTTAATTGGGAAAATGCTGATAAAACCCAAAATTGTTCAGACAATTCCAAGTATCGAGGTCAGAAAGTGGTTTAAAACGCCACCAGTTGAGCTATTAAAAATACCCTGCTTAATTGATTGCTATAGTGGATCAAAATCTACCTGGTTTACTGGGGATCATGATAAGCCATAGTAGGGAAACCGTTTTCAACCAACTAGCCACCAGTTGCCAGTTGTGTTCCCAGCCGAATGATTCCCCAGTTGTTCTCCGTGTCCCAAGGCATGAGGCTGGAAAGTTGAGTTCTGGCGAGGCAGTGGATTGACCAAGATTTCTGGGCTCGGAAGATGAGCGGATCTGGATATGTATATATATATATATACGTATGTATATAATATTTAATATTTATATAATCTGACATGTATTTATAATTTATACTTATCTATATATTGTATGTATACATTCTTTAGGTTGCTTTCTGTTTCTTGGGATGTTTTTTTGCGTCCATCAAATGGGAATCCTCAAATTTCTCAGCGTCGGCTGCCGGTTTCTTGATTCGAATCGGTTGGTTGAAAATGATATTTCTCAAATAGCTATTGAAAATGGTCATTTAGTTCGTGAGTGTTCCCATGAAATAGCTGGTGATTTTTTCCATAGTCTTTTGTATGTTTACCAGAGGGTACTATATAACCGATGTGGGGTAAAGTTTTCTGTAATTCCGTCCCCCTAATACTAAACACCCCAGAAACCATGGTCTCATAGGGGATTTCCACATCACCATTTGTGAGATGTTTAATAGGGGAATATACCCTCTGGTTATTTGTTACATAGCCATGGTATAGATGGCCCTAATCGAAATAGATGGTTTACCTATGAATAGCATGGTGATTTTCCATGGCAAACTGTTAGTCATAACCAGATGGTAGATGATTAGAGATGTCTTATATATAACAGGGTCAAAACATCCCATAATATGAGATAATATGATCATCTACTAGCCAATATTTATCTAGCATTAACTTTGATGGTTAAAAGAAAGGTATTCCTCTTGACCTCCATAAATGTCTTGACCTCCATGGGAAAGAGATTCATTCCATTGCCTCAGTTGCTCCGCATCTTTGGATCCGCAGGAGTCCCAGTTGCTGGAGCAGTTCCGAAAGCTGCAGGAAGACTTCATCCAGCTACAGCAACAGGTGGACCTGGACCAACGAAAAAACGGGTAGAAAATCACCATGAAATGAGTATTACAATTACTATATTAATATTACTATCCCAGGTAAATAGAGATCAACTATCCCAATTACTCTATCAATTGATGATTAGTTGATAAAAATTATTATTATTTAGTCTATCAATTCTCAATATTACTCTATGGTATCCCAGGCAAATCAACTATCAATTGGCCATTTTCAATAGCTATTCATTCCAAGAGACCTATAGGTTATGAGAATAGCTATCTATGGTTAACCAAGGAGGGTACCTTGGAACTGAGGTTCTTGCACTTCCTATAGACGAGCTGTAACCATGGTGACCAACTATTTACCCGCCGTCATATGCAAATCCACGACATGGAGTGGAGTCAAAAACAGTCGACATGTTGACACACCTATACTAATATATATATACACCGTATATATGTACATATTATATACAGACTATATACAGTATGTATGTATGTAATTTTGCATGTCTTTGTGTATGTGCATACGTATTGTATATGTATATGTAATGTAATATCTATATGTATATGTATATGTATATGTATATGTAATATGTAATATGTAATATGTAATATGTAATATGTAATATGTAATATGTAATATGTATATGTAATATGTATATGTATATGTCTATGTCTATGTATATGTATATGTATATGTATGCGTATGCGTATGCGTATACGTATACGTATATTATACATACATGCATATGAATACGTATGTGTATGATTGCGTATGTGTATATATATATGTCTTTATATATGTACATCTATGTATGTGTGCACATTGATGTGAATACATTACCCGTCTTGGGGTTATCTTGTAACCACAGCCATGGCGGTTAAACCGTGGGATCAACACTGGCCTCGGTTTGCCCGATGCAAGGCATATCAAATTGGAGAAGACTCAGCGGACAACGCGGCACTGGCGAGACATCTGGGCTTAATGCTGAGAATCTCCAGAAAAAAACACCAAAAACTGGGTTGAAATTGGCCAAAAGGGTAGGGTCAGTATGGGTTAGTCCATTCCTGGGATGATATAACTGGTACTTTACCAGACCCTGGGGGTTGACCAGCCTGCTGGTCGAAGCGATAAAGAGATGGCGCCTTCAGAGGTTTTTAACGTGTTTTAAGGAGCTTAAAGACTTTAAAGATACCAATCAAACCATATAAAGGGCAGCAATGAACCTCCATAGCAACCAGCTCGTTGTGCTTGACAGCTGGGTAGAAGACTGAAACGACCCCTACATGGGGTGTTTGAAAAATGGTTATTACCCCAAAGAGCAATTCAAAGAACGGGAACATGATGATACTCGATCATGGGATTATGAGATTTTTGGGTGGGTTCCTTATGATTTTATAAGACAAATTCATATTTTGAAGAATGCTTCTCAGAACAGCTTGGTGTTTCCCGACTTTGAATCAGTGATGCAACACCTGGAAGAAAGTCGTAGCTTCGAAGAAGAACCTGAAATATATGTGTGAGCTTTATTGAACTCTACCAACAGTAGAGGGGGGATATTACCCTCTGGTAATTCAACATTAACTATGGAACATCAACATGTATAGCGAGTTTTCCCATGAAAATGGTGATTTTCCATAGTTACTGTATGTTGAATTACCAGAGGTTTTTTTTTGGCGACGTGCTACCTCAGGCGAAGCACCCAGTAATAATCTAATATCACCCACCCGCGGAAAAAAAAAATGGTTGAGTACTTCGCTAGCCCTCCAAAAGTGATCACGAGCCATTCACCGGTAATCCCCTCAAACTTCTCCCATCTGACAGGTTACTCTAATCCATTCTCATTAGGTAAATGAAAATCCAAAAGGGTGGACCACTGTTCAACTTTGCCATGTTTTACCTATGTTTGCCTATGTTTTAGCTATGACCATGTTTTGCCTATGTTTTGCCTATGTTTTACCTATGTTTTACCTCTATATTTCGCCTAATTTCTGCGCAAGCGTGGCGCGCGCAAGCGCGCAGTCTGACTCCCCAAGGACATCCATTGGTGGATGCCTATGTGGAATACCTGAGAGCCTTCCAGCCGCGTCTTCAGGCGATGGTTTCCCTCATAGAGAAGGCCGCTTCGATGGCGATGGGACCCGGGTGAGTGGCTCAGGATTTTCCCCATGATGAGTTTTCCATCAAGTACTGCTTGGTGGTTTGGAACATGGCTTTTTAATGGGATTTCATGGTGTTTTTAACGGGATATAATGGGATATAATGGGATATAATAATCAATAGTGGAACATGGCTGGATTATGACTTTCCATCTATTGGGAATTTCATCATCCCAACTGACTTTCACTAACTCATATTTTTCAGAGGGCTGGCGAAAAACCACCAACCAGAGTAGTGTTTATCCTATGAGGACTCATATCCGCGCCAGATGGTCTACTCACTTACAGTAGTCGCTTGCTGTGCTGTGCTGTGCCGTGCTTTGCTTTGCTTTGCTTGCTCGGTTGCTTGCCTGCCTGCCGCTTTTCACCCATTCTTGCTGCTGGTTGTATGCCGAGATCAAGACCCCTCTTTCATAACCCATATCATGGTGACATCCCCCAAGTGCGTCCCGCATATGCTCTTACTACGTCTTACTACGTCTTAAAACCGCCCTGTGGTTTCATCCCCAGCCACCATGGTACCATGGTTTCGTTTGGGGCTAGTTTAACCATCAACGGGGGAAGGGATATGTCGGATATGTGTTGTGCACAAGGCTATCCTGGTTGCTGGGTATCTGGGTTGATTTCTTTAAAACATCTTGCATTTTGCTTCAAGATACTCATCCCGCCTGGCAGAATGGAACATCATGTAACCACCCACCCAGCTTGAATTCTTTGAAAAAGGCTAGCCAAAACAGACATGCATTTTCGCTGGTTCTATTTTTCAAGATTCACATACAATGATGCCCTTTTTCAATATTTTTACACACATAGACATAGAAATAATCTTACAGTACGTTACAGTACATTACATACATTACACACTGTATATATTATAATCCCCATTAACTATAGTTATATCTACCATAAACCATTGTTAAACCACTTATAAACCAACTTAGTTATCTTGGGGGCCCCACCCTGTATATATATGGTCCCGTGTCCCGTGTTCCCACCCCCCCATGGGATGGGGGAGGGTATGATGACCCTGTGGTGGTGGTATGTATGTATGTATGCATGGATGTATGTATCTATGTATCTATGTATCTATGTATCTATGTATCTATGTATCTATGTATCTATGTATCTATACCTACATACCTACGTACCTACGTACCTACGTACCTGCGTACCTACGTACCTACGTACCTACGTACCTACGTACCTACGTACCTACGTACCTACGTACATACATACATACATACATACATACCTACATACATACCTACATACATACCTACATACATACCTACATACATACCTACATACATACCTACATACATACCTACATACATACCTACATACATACCTACATACATACCTACATACATACCTACATACATACCTACATACCTACCTACCTACCTACCTACATACCTACATACCTACATACCTACATACCTACATACCTACATAATCCTACATAGACATACATAGACATACATAGACATACATAGACATACATAGACATACATAGACATACATAGACATACATAGACATACATAGACATACATAGACATACATAGACATACATAGACATACCTAGACATACCTAGACATACCTAGACATACCTAGACATACCTAGACATACCTAGACATACCTAGACATACCTAGACATACCTAGACATACCTAGACATACCTAGACATACCTAGACATACCTAGACATACCTACATACCTACATAGACATACCTACATAGACATACCTACCTACCTACCTACATACATACATACATACCTACCTACCTACCTACGTACGTACGTACGTACGTACGTACGTACCTACCAACATACCAACCAACATACCCAACATACCAACATACCAACATACCATACCATACCACCACCACAGGCCACAGGGGGGGGGACCAGAAGAACCATACCACCACCACAGGCCACAGGGGGGGGGGACCAGAAGAACCAGACGATACTGTCCAGCCATACCCATTGGTGGGGGGGGGTGGCTGGCCAACGCTGGACCATATATATATAATATATATAATATATTAATATATATATATACGCGTACACATGCACATTTGTAAACACACAGATGCACATCATCACATCATGAGGTACATCTCCATGCGACACTTGGGGCATGTTCTTATTCGGCTCCCAGCTGCCCCATATGGTTAAAATCCAGTTAGAGTATGAATGGGATATCACCACTTGAATACATAGACATAGATGCCCATACATATTAATCATATACAGTGTATATAAGCATATATATATAATATGCAATATATAGATAGATAGAACGAACAATAGATAGATCAGATAGATAGATAGATAGATAGATAGATAGACAGACAGACAGACAGACAGACAGACAGATAGATAGATAGATAGATCAGATAGATCAGATAGATCAGATAGATCAGATAGATCAGATAGATCAGATAGATCAGATAGATCAGATAGATCAGATAGATCAGATAGATCAGATAGATCAGATAGATCAGATAGAACAGATAGATCAGATAGATCAGATAGATCAGATAGATCAGATAGATCAGATAGATCAGATAGATCAGATAGATCAGATAGATCAGATAGATCAGATAGATCAGATAGATAGATAGATAGATAGATAGATAGATAGATAGATAGATAGATAGATAGATCCGATAGATCAGATAGATCAGATAGATCAGATAGATCAGATAGATCAGATAGATCAGATAGATCAGATAGATCAGATAGATAGATAGATAGATAGATAGATAGATAGATAGATAGGTAGGTAGGTAGGTAGATAGGTAGATAGGTAGATAGGTAGATAGGTAGATAGGTAGATAAGTAGATAGGCAGATAGGCAGATAGGTAGATAGGCAGATAGGGAGATAGGTAGATAGGTAGATAGTTAGATAGGTAGATAGGTAGATAGATAGATCGATCGATCGATCGATAGATAGATAGATAGATAGATATAAAGATAAGATAGATAAGACAGATAAGACAGATACGACAGATAAGACAGATTAGAGAGAGTAGAGAGATTAGATAGATCAGATAGATTAGATAGATTAGATAGATTAGATAGATTAGATAGATTAGATAGATTAGATATATTAGATAGATTAGATCGGTTGGATCGATTAGATAGATTTGATAGATTTGATAGATTAGATGGATTAGATGGATTAGATGGATTAGATGGATTAGATGGATTAGATGGATTAGATGGATTAGATGGATTATATTATTAGATAGATTAGAAAGATTAGAAAGATTAGATAGATTGGATAGATTAGATATATTAGATAGATTAGATAGATTTGATAGATTAGATACATTAGATAGATTAGATAGATTTGATAGATTAGATACATTAGATAGATTAGATAGATTAGATAAATTAGATAGATTAGATAGATTAGATTAGATTAGATTAGATTAGTTTAGATCAGATCAGATCAGATCAGATAGATAGATCAATCGATAGATAGATAGATACTGTGGGTTATATTCCAGCTATGATTCCTCGGATGCACATCTAAGCATGCCCGATTTTCCCAGAATTAGAATCGAAGGAAACAAACATACAAACCCGGGTATACCTCGATTTTCAATATGGAAGAAACCAGGCTTTAGCAGCATCATTTTAGTTTAACCAACTTCATCCAGACCCCCAAAAAAGCAGAACAGTCAAATTCTACTAAAGTACTATCTTTGAAACAGTATTGTAAATGTGTTTGTTTAAATTAATTTCCTTGAACCAAACCCTAAAATAGTGATGACTGGGACCTCCTATGAAGCCACCGGATGAGATACCGAGGAATACAGCCGATTGATGGTAAAGCCTCTGGACCAGCGGAAGGAGGCGAGCAAGATGGAGATAGCGAAGATGGGGGGATTTGTGCAGGTTTTTTTGCTGATTTAACCAAGAAACATTGTGGGATTTAACCAAACATTGGATAACCAGAGTAGTTATGATTTATAGTTCATCACCAATTCGAAAAGACAGGTTGAACCATACAACCAAGAGTGATTCGCTGAAAGAATGGATCTAAGCAGGAACGAAGTTGCAGTTGATCATTTGAACCTAAGATTCAGGCTGTGGATTGAGCTGGCACAGCCGAGTTTGTTGATATTTGTTTTGCTTCCATCGACATGTTTTGTTGGTTGTATCATCCCCAAATGTGCTCGTTCTTCCCATGGAAGAGCGTCTATTGATCATATGCACATTTGGTGTTGTTTTCTGATCTTTTGCGTTTTTTTTTAGTGTGTCCTGAGGAAAATTAACAGGACATGATCAATTTTACACGCCACATATGGGGTTTCCTTCTGATTTCCGTGGAGAGCCACTTCTATGGGATCTCTATAGGCAACAAATTCTGCCTCCCAACAAATTTTGGATGTTTTCTTAAAAACTCAATCAAGGAGATCACGTTTTTTTGTTTTTTTGGCACCGGCATTGTTGGATTGTTGTATATCCCTCCAGCGATTCTGGTTACTGTTCTCTTCCCAAAGATGTTTGGTGAACATTTTGGATGGTTAACTCACCATGCGAAATTTTGCTCAACTCACATTACGAATGTTTGCTTAGTCAAAACTCGCATATTTCGCAGGCAAAAACCATTCGTTTCTTGGCGAAATCTCAGTGGGTTGGTTCTTTCATCAAAAAAATTTGCTGGACAAACCACCAATCGCTTGTTTTCTTTGGTTCTTCAATCATGTTCAATCCCAACTATGTCAAATTTCTAAAAACTCACCATGGACCTGTTGCTTAAAAAAAACCAGCCCCAGTTGTGCCCCACAAAATCCACAGCGCCACCCCTTCGGGGGGAATCTTCAGGAGCTGCGTCGTGAGAAATTCTGTGGCGCCTCGTTGTTGACGCTTCGTGCAAAGGCCAAGAAGCGTCTGGCGCGCGACACCAGGCGCCACCGTTCAAGCCGCTGGTGCTGGGTTGAACGGTGCAAGCTGGGTGAGAACTTCATAGATCACTTGATTGGGCGATTCGGCGGAGATTTCTAGATTTGGTTTTGGTGATTAATATTCAAATATGATGATATATGCCAGATCGTCGTTGATGTTTGGTTGCTTTTTATATATATATATATATTTCTATTTTATGTTTTTTGAAGGTGCGATGGTTGGGATTGATTTTTCCGAAGAATGGAGGTTGTTCTTCCAATCTAGGCTGGGGGCCACAGGGATTCCAGGGATATATATATATATATATCTGGGTAAATTATACCAACCTCACTGGAATCTTGGTTTATAAGGGAAATCATCCCCAAATGGCCTTAATTCAGGTGCTGGACGCGGGCTCTTTTGGGAAGGAAATGGGCCTTAATTCAGGTTAGTGAAATATTATATTTAATTTTCCCAGATCTATATATAGATCTATGATGATTTATGGCTATGGAAATGATCCAGATACCCTCGGGTAAGCTATGGAAAATCACATTTTTTAGATATTTTTAGTAGATAAGTAAGTCAATCATCGACGTAGATCATAGATGGGCCATTTTCCATATAGCAAATTGAGCAAATTGTTCAATTACGGGAGAGATATCCAGATAGATGAATTACCCTCTGGCAAACTAACATAACTATGGAAAATCACCATTTTTAATGGGTAAATCCACTATAAATTGCCATTTTCAATAGATATTTTGACATAACCAGAGGGTACACGCTTTGGATTTTAAAAGGGTGTATACAGCGATCCAGACCAATCCATCGCTGGCACAGATCCATGCCACGAGACATGTTATTGTGACGGTGTTTGAGTAGGGGAACAAACATGTTATTGTGGTAACACTGTACAACCATTTTTTGCAAGCTTTCAGAAAGAACAATCCAAATGGTAAGCTCAAAAAGGTGTGGAGTTTATCATTGGACTTGGATTTACCAATTCTTCTGGTCATTTTCTAATAAGTTGGGGCTCAGCAACGAATATGGCCTCCCTTGCATAAGTTGCTTCGGTTCCAGCAACGGATGTTTCCCGCTGATTCCATTCGCACATTCCTTACGCACCGCGTGTCGTAGGAATTTCAAGACGAAAGCCATGGATGAGTTGACCATCTTTCGTGAGAGACAATTGGAGATGCAGGCGGTTGATTGGTGGAGACTATTGGGGATTCGGAAGAATTTAGAGGCTTTGAGGCTAAAAACCATCCATTGCGGTGTGGGAATTCACTGAGGAACCACCACAATGTGGGCGGCGTTGGTCGTTTGGGTATGGATATGATTACCACAGAATCCCGTGGTGAATCTTGTAACGTTCCGAATAAAGCATGGCCATAGCTGGAGGTCGAATCTCCATTCTCAGACATGCACAGAAGATCACAGAAGTGTGTGGGCAACTTGGATAGATGAATTTCCCATGACACTTCTTTAATTATAGGGGACTTGTGGCAAGTCCATTGAGAATCCATAAAGTTACTGGACATAATATGATATAATTACACTTCCAGTTCAATTTGTTTGGTGGATCATCATAGATCCACAAAAAACCAGCGAAGCCGTCGCCAGGCTTCAGCCATCCTTTTGATGGATTTTTAAGGGGGGTTTAATCAGCGGTTTCACGGATGCAGACTTTGTATCATATAGCAGTACAGTATATATATAATTATATATATATCATATATCTATATATCTGGGTAAATTATAACGACCTCACTGTTCTCCCTCACTGGGAATCATGGTTAGTAAGGGAAATCATTCCCAAATGGGCGAACTATTCAGGTTAGTGAATTATTATAATTTACTCAGATATATATAATATGTGTATAACAGTACTATGTGTATAATATATATAATAGCTGTGCATAATATATGTGTATAACAGTAGACTACAGTACTGTATATACAGTATATTATATATACCCTCTGGTTATTTAACATAGCAATGGTATAGATGGCCCATAGAAATAGATGGTTTCCCTATGAATAGCATTGTGATTTTCCATGGCTATGTTAAATAACCAGAGGGTATATATAATTTACAGTATTTATGTATATATATATGTATTTGTAGTATACGTAACATAATTGTGCAAAACATATGATATAATTAGCATTATATTATGCTATGTAGTATGATATAATATAGACTAACCTAGAATATAGACATCTTTGGGATAGACTATCATAGAACATCATGTTGCTGTTTCTGTTTACTCTTGGCCAGAGCTTGAGTGGTTAATCGCACCATAGGGAAGTCACCAGGTCCCAGCCACCATTTGTTGTATGAATCTGCTGCGAGCTTAGATCCTGGTACCAGGCTAGTAGCAATCATAAGTCAGAGCCCACATGTAAAGTGTTTTTTTTTTTAATATAGGGGTTTTCTTTGCAGCGTCCATTGCGCCCAGGTTTCTCATCCTTGGAAGTGCGGTTCCAGTTATAAGATGTTATAAGTGGATTCAGTGAATATATATATATAAATATACATACATATATATATACATATATATATATATATACATACATATATATATATACATATATATATATATATACATATATATATACATACATACATACATATATATATATACATATATATACACATATATATATAATATAATATATAATATATAATATATAATATATAATTGTATATATTATAACCATACGCAAAGGGGTTATATCCCAACTTATGGGGGTTTTAAATGAACCACGGTTGGTTAACCCATTTGCAACCTCTGCAGAGGCCTCCCAACCAAGTCCCAGGCCTCAGATGTACCCAATGTTTTGCCCAATTTTGGCCAGTGAAATTCCCATGTGGATGTGGGTGAAAATGGAAGACCTAGGGGACCACAGATGTTAGTCTAGTTTAGTATTCACCATCCATAATTTTGGGGTACCTAGTTTTGACCCATACCCATGTCTTGCAACGTTTTCGTTGCTGAACTCTGTACCTTTACGGCTCCCCAGTCGTCTGGAGGACAAGCAGCGCGACATGTTGGCGCGGATGGAGGGCCCAGACTGGCCTCGACTGGACTGGCCGCTGAGCAACGCGGACGCGCGGCACGTGGGCGATGCGGAGGATATCATCCACAGCGGCATCGATTCCTTGAAAGCGCGGTTGGCGCCAAAGGTGCCGTAGGGATCCGTAGGGGGAAGATTTTCGTTGGGGATTTGTTGGCAAAAGGGTCAGGGTCATATACTTTGGCGTCATATTGAGAGTTTGTGGTCAGATCTAATCAGGGAGCGCATGCTAAGTGTTCATGGCGGAAGAGATACTGTCACCGATTAACCAGGCATGTTTCTGAGCTCAGGAATTGGGGACTTCATATCACCAAGGGTCATTAGCCACTTGCTAAATGGGTATGACCCTCCAATTCTGGGGGTGAAATGCTGCTTGGGATGTATGGGGAAATATTGGTTTTGGGATGAATGGAACATGCAGAAGAAATTTGAACATGTTTTGTTTTTCTGGATGGAAGGAGTAAGTGTCCTTTCACTTGCAGGAGAGCAATTGGAAATAGTCTTGCTTATTCGCCCAGGTGGATGAGCATCTATTGGTCAAATTTGATTTATAATGATGACACACTGTTTTTTTTAATGTTTTTTTAGTAGCTGTCACAAGCTCATCTATCTCGCAATCCTAAATTCTTTGAGCTGTGTACCAAAGATCGGACCAAACATCGGTCCAAACATCACCGATAAGGGACCTAGGGGGCCATGATTCCATGATCAGTCTGCCAGGATATCCCATATCTTCACGAAAGTCAAGATCAAGAGGCTCTAGAGGCCTTGGTTGCGACTGGAGATATGATGGTGTGCTATTCCAAGCTGATGGATAGATTCCTGGCACCAACGAACTGGGACAAGTCCAAGTCGTCGAAGATGGGATTTGTCGATGTTTGCGGCACCTCTTATAGTCACCAGCAAAATCACCATAGTTACTATACTATCAAGATTCATAGTCCAAATCACTAACTATAATTTACTATAATCATCACAGACAGATGTTCCACTTGAACCGGTCACCCGTTTGGTGCATCACAACGGTTCTCCTTGAAATCCACGAAGTCTTGGGAGAGGGTCACTGGGCTGACCGATTCGCCCATGGTTTTGCCTAACTTACCCACGAAAAAAAAAGACCATAACTGGTTGGTGGTTTCAAACATTTGGATTATTTTGCATAATATGTGGGATCATCCTTCCCATTGACTTTTATATTTTTCGGAGGGGTGGCGAAAAACCACAAACCAGCTAAGGGGGACCTTTTTGTTGTGGGGTGGAATTTCATGGCTGAATACGTGTCAACATTTGGTCAAGACCCTAAAAACCACAGGTTTTGGTCATTTTTTGCACCACCCTACGATTTTTGGCTATCCAAATATTGAGCCTAATCCAGATACTGACGCCAACAAAAATTGGAATTGGATGGTTGAAGGTCTTAAAAACCAATGATGGCTAGAAATCGCTAGAAATGTGGGTCCATTCATACCCAGAAGATGGATTGATGAGGTTCTACTGTGTGTACTTGATCAGTCACCATGATTAGTAAGTGGAAAATAAACATATGGGGTAGATAAACAGCACATGGTGAGAAAATAAGCAACCCAGAATCTACTGTAGTAGTGATTTCAGCACTGGCTCGGAACATGAATCTTTTCGTAACATAGGTTTTTAGGGGTCAAGTTTGATTTGGCGCTTGGAAACATGGATAAACTATGATAAACTATGATAAACTATAATAAACTATGATAAACCATTATAAACCATTATGAACCATCATGAACCATCATGAACCATTATAAACCATTATAAACCATTATAAACCAACAAATCTTGAGTAGAAAACCGGGTACTTTTTCTGACTTGACCAGTCCGCGGGTACCTAGAGGATCCTAGAAGATCCACATGGAATAACTGCAGTAATTGGAGACGGTCCATCCAGGATATGTTGAGAAGGTGAAGAAGTCTCAGAAAGCCAAGAAAGTCATCGCGAATCTTGGCCGAAAGGAGTTGAAGTTTCGGGCTTTCATCAAATCTGGTGGGCTGACCAAGAACTGCAGGTATTTTAAGGGGTTTCATGTTGTGCCAGTTCAACTGCCATCCCAGCCACCCAAAAAAAAACTCCACAAACTCTGTCACTACGTCTCCCAAGTCATCATCCCTGAGGCGGGAGGAGGTCCGAAGTAGCCTGAAAAGCTTCGGCAAAGCCACTGCCTCCGCGCGGCCCTTCGCGTGGCTCCACGCCCTCGCAGGCGGCGGCGCCGGCGACGCACGGCCCGGAGCCGGGGGAGCTGGGCTGTCCTCGGGGCTCGGCGGCCTGGCTCAGCTGGGAAGCAGCCTGGGCGGCCTGGCGCCGGCCGAGGGCGACGGCCTGGAACCCGATGAGAGTGGACCCGAGGAGGTCAGGTGGTCTGCGGCTCAACCTGTCTATAACGACTTTGAGCTCTGACAGCTTGAGATTTGTAGGTTTCGTGGTAAAAATGGAGAAGATGGATGATGACGGTGGAATTAAAGGTGGATGAAAAGGGTAAGGATCAGTAGGGTACTACTTGGTGGATCCCATGTTCTCCATTTTGAGCCAGCGATTGTGATTTGGAAGCACACCTGGATGGTGGTTTTGTGAACGGATAAGACCCCACCAAAGACATCTGCGCCAAGTAGCCACTTCCTCGCTTGAAAGAAGTCCCATTTCTGGTGCGGCGTGGATGTTTGGGCTGGCATGGTTGCAATTCATGACAGGCAACACTTCAAAATGGTTGGTGGTTTCAAACATTTGGATTATTTTCCACAATATATGGGATAATCCTTCCCATTGACTTTCATATTTTTCAGAGGGGTGGCTCAACCACCAACCAGCAAGAATGGTTCTGTGTTGATCGTTCTGGATAAATCGCACCGACCTCTCTGCGACATCACTGGAATGCTGGTTGATGAGAAACATCGCCAGATGGCCTTACTTGAGGTGGGTGATTTATGTTACCCTCTGGTAAACATACAAAAAACTATTGAAAATGGCCATAGATAAAATAGATTAAAATAGTCGATTTACCCATTAGCAATGGTGATTTTCCATAGTTATGTTAGTTTACCAGAGGGTAAGTTATCAAGATAGTCGATAAGATGCTTGTTGATAGGCCTGGCTGGAGATTGCACATGAAGATGATATGGGTAAAGTCACAAGAGTCCTAACATCTCACAACCTTTTCAAGCACCAAAGACAGCCAGTGGCTGCGGTCGAATCTTCTGGGGATGCCCACCCTGGCTATGACTAACATAGCCATGGTATAAATGGCCCATAGATGGCCCTAATCGAAATAGATGGTTTACCATTCTTAGCATGGTGGATCGGCAACCATGGCGAACTGTTAGTCATAACCAGATGGTATTCATGTTTGAATACATTTGACCATGGCACATGTGTAGTGTATCCATCCCGATGTTCTCGCTATCCTGCAGATGCATTTAGGAACCTCCATTTGGTGCAGGTTTGGACCATCATTCAGGAGATGCAAAACGTAGGAGTCACTGGGACTGCGGATTGGAGATGATTGGCGTGAGGGGAAGTGTGCAACGGTGACAGCGGGGTGTGTGGCAAAGGTGTGGAGGCCTCTCGGATATCAATCTTTTGGCTCAGATACCCTCCGGGAACATAGCCGTGGAAAATGGCGTAGTTATATAAAGGTTGTTTACCCATTGAACATTGTGTTTTTTCCATAGCAAACCGTGAAATTACCAGAGGGCAGTTGTAGAATACCGGCAAGTGACACTACCAGTCACTACCAGCTGAGCATCAGCAGTTCTCATTCCTGTTTCCAGGGATCCACGACTATGGCAATCCACAGGGGTCCACAAACAGATGGCAATGCTGTGCCCTTCAGTGCTTGTTTGGAGACAGTCGATTCCAGGATTCTGCAGGTGAAATTTGAGGGCTGCAAGCGGCGAGTAGCATGCTTAAATCTCTTTTTTAACGTTCTTGAATGGCCTCATGTTCACTATTTTTTGCGGAACTACATACTACGATTCCACACTATCAAGATCAACTGTTTCGATCACCTAAATTACATGATGGATATTTACATACTGCATACATATACACATGTCCAAAACCACATATACTCTCTAATAGCTCTCTATATAATTCTATATATCCGGATAAATTATAACGACCTCACTGTGACCTCACTGGAATCATGGTTAGTAAGGGAAATCATCCCCAAATGGCCTTAATTCAGGTTGGTGAATTATTATAATTTACCCAGTATATATATATAATAAATACATAATTTATTATATTTTTTCCCAATTTAAAGTTTCATGTTGCTCACATACGTCGCCAAGGTGAGGCCCAACCAGGTGACGTGTTGGGGGCCCAAGGAGCCTATGGCAAATGTGTAGGGATTGATGGGGATTCAATAGGGATTTTATGGTGATTTTCTGGTGATTTAATGGGATTTAATGGGATTTAATGGGATTCAATAGGGATTTAATAGGATTTAATGTTATTTATAATGATAGGGATCCAGTATATTGATTTTATCGTGTTGATGAAGTATCACACCAATAAGCCAAATAGTTGTTTAATGAGGATTTAGCCATCAACTTTAGATGGTTTTAACTTTTAACCATCTAAATCATGGTGGTATGATTGACAAGCTATGGTTGGTTGATGATTAGCTTGCCGATTATACTACCCTGTATATATTGAGGATCATCACCACCACCACCACCAGCATCAGCATCATCATCATCATCATCATCATCATCCATGAAGTGGAAATCCTGTTCTTCACCAGGCACTTTTTTGCGCCTTGAGGCTCGATTTTGTTGAAGAACCTCAACAGCTCATCCCCCGAGTCGGACATCAACCAGACGCGGCCAGCTTAGAAATCTCCGGTATCATCTCAGCCGGTCACGGGTATCTTAGAGGAACTCCTGTCATCATCAAAAAGGGGATGGTCGAAGTTTAGCCTATGACCTGCTTGAAATGGGTAGATTTTAGAAATCATATTGCTATCATGATATCATGATTATTCATGATTATATGATTATACCCATCAATTACAGCCTATGACCTGCGAAATCGCCTAGATTTTCGCCCATTGGCCCATTGACTGTGACCCATGGCTTCAATGACTGTGACCTTTGGGCCAGGCCATGGAGTGTATAGCAACCCCAACTGCGATTGTTTTTTTTTTCCCCATGGCTTACATAACTCACATAACTCACTAATAGTGGCTTTATAGCGGCTTAACTCATAACTTATAGCATCTTATAGCCGCCGGATTTTTTCCATGGCTCCATGGCGCCGCTGACCAACCAGCAGTTGGCTGGCTGACTTTTACTCGCTAAAATGGTGGTTAGTTCACCCCTTAAATGACTGGACAATCATCCTACTTACCCTGCTTGTAACATCTTGTAACTGGGGTTATACCCTGAACCACCCTTTTTGTTGCCAGACCTAGAAATTACTTGGGTCATGCCTACTATGGGGGTTTCCGACTCCAATTCTATCCTGATGATTGTTGGTGTGATATCACCACATTTTGTTGGTGTAAAGTCTCCATTTAGAACCATTGATATTATTCGATTCTCATCATCCCATGATTTTCCCATCAAATAGCCATTGTTTTCATGGCCATGAAATTCATTTTTTTTGGTTCAAGGAGAACTCTTACATTCTGGTAATTTAACGTAGCAATGGAAAATTCAACATTTTTCATGGGTAAATCATCAATCATGTATAAATGAGCCATTTTCCATCGCAAACTGTTGAACAATCAGAGGGCAATTCACTAAATCACCATTTATAGAGGATTTCTAGTGGTTTTCCCATCCCAAATAAATCACCATATTGACAGAGGCTGCCCGTTGTTTAGGATGAGTCTGATCAACGGCATGGAGGAGCAACTGGACGAAGTTCTCCTCTCCTCAGTGGCCCGGGACCGAACGAACTGCCATGGCGAAGTGGAAGTCATGGCCCAGTTTGTTCGAAGATTTATGGACCATTCATATGGAAAATCTATGGAAAATATGGATGAACATGGCCCATTTATATACCTATCAAACATATCGTGATTTTTTCCGAGTTTGAGTGGGAAAATATGATGCTAAAAGCACCGGATTCGGAATTGATGGGGAAAAGATTGGATGACGACTGGATGTCGTCAGCTCTCGAAGCACCAGATTTTCCAAGCTGTCCAGGAAGATGACCCCATGATTTTCCATGGAAATTCGCTCTGGTTTTTTTCGCAGCTGGTTTTTTCCAATTTTCTTCACATTGTTCTCACGGATTTCCATCCAGTTCCTATTTAACAGTTCGATGTTGTAGATGGCCCATTGATAGAGGTTTACCTATGAATAGCATGGTGGATCTTTCCATGGCAAACTGTGAATGTCATAACCAGATGGTAGGTCTTTTCTCCACATTTTTCCGATTTCCGTATACCCTCTGGTAAATTAACATAGCTATGGAAAATCACAATTTTTCATGGGAAAACCCACTATAAATGGTCATTTTCAATAGCTATTTTGACATAACCAGAGGGTATTTGCGTCCGTATCAGGTCGAGGCTTGCGTCCGCATTGGCAAGCCAGACTTGTTGAACACCAAGTTGAGGCCGACGATGGGTTCCGGTGGATGTCATGATCTACTTGGTGGTGTTTTTCACGACCTAGGCATTGCAAGTGGATTACAGTAGCTCACCTCAGTTACAAGTGGGGTAGAAGTAGAAGAAGTAGTGCAAATCCAGCTAGAACTAGGGTGAAACAACCCAGTTACTAAGTTGGATGAGCCACCAAGTAGGTATGGAAAACGTGTATAAGCAGTTTGGGAAAGGGCATTGGTGTACTTGGTGTACTCTCTCATCTGACAATGGAAAGTTCCTGAGTTATGGATTCTGCTACATGAGAAGCTGACTATTGATCATTTTCCACTGCCAGGTTTGTTTCTGATTTTTTCCCGGTACTTGGTGCTTCAGCCCAGTGAAGTTGGTTACGACCCATTACGACCTCAATGTTCACCACAACATCGGATTAGTCCAGCTTTAAAGGGTGAGGTACACCGGAAAGGCTGGTACTGGTTGCTGGTAACTCCATGAGGGATACCTCAAAAGTTGCCATCTTAAAGGGGAAAATGAGATTGATACGCCATGGGATGTTGCTGTACCTATATACTTAGCAGACAAACCATGACAAACTCCTAGGATTCCACTGCTGACAACAATCCCTAGTCTTGGCCATACCCACCTCACAACAATAGAATACTAGATACACTTCTGTTAAACTAACATAGCTATAAAAAAGCTATTGAAAATGGCCATTTATAGTGGATTTACCCATTGAAAATGATGATTGTCCATAGTTATGTTAGTTTACCAGAGGGTACCCTTCTGGTAATCCAAAAAAACTTGCTGGAGTAGCCAACATTCAGGTTGATTATTTTTCTCATCAAAACCTCCATTTACTTGGGGGATCTCCCAGCGATGTTTGATGACACTGGAGGG